CAGACCGTCTACCCCCTTGGCCTCTGTCACAATCGGGAGCTCAGTAAATCTGGCTCCTGCCAACAAATCCAAACCTGCCAGTATTAGTCTATATATGACCTTTGACATTGGCCTTGGTGAGCAGCACAAGTTGAACTGTCTGCAGCAGCGAGGGACCTGAAAAGCCTCATGGGATGGATTGGGAAAGTATACTGAATTTTACCCCGGCATTGGTACGATCGGCTCCAATACAAGTAAATGTGATCTGTGTTGTCAAATGAAAGACATCCTTTGTCTCGTTGGCCACTTAAGGCTAATTGTATACACTCTGCACCATGTTTCTCCCCAAAATTGTCACAAAAGAACTCAAGTGATCCCATTTGCACTGTATTCAGTCATTACCAACTCTACCAGTAGATGTTAAGCCTATCTAGGCCAACAATCCTATACTGCTTTGGTTCTTCCTCACTTCACATTAGTCAGGCAGTGAGTGGGAATTGAAAGACACTGTATTGACAGACTTTTCAGTTAATACAGTGCCTTGTCCAATGTCTCAGTCCTACTTTTCCAAGTTCTTCAGCTTCACTTTTGTGAAAATTGAATCTAGGAAGACTTCAAAGAAAGGGTCCAGGCAGTGCAATGTAATTAAAACCTGTTGCGCTGTAGCCTTAAAGAACACAGGCATGAAATTTAAAAAAATTACTGTTATCTAAATTGTTCATTAAAAAAATCTTAATATGAATGTATTACTGTAACATCAGTTGTCATTTGAAGTTTTGATCTTTAACAGCATTTATGCATTGATATATATATTTATATATATATAGGCTCAGAGGCATATACAGTTGCATTTAATTTATGCCTGGTCACGTGCCACTCTGACAGTTGTCTCTCTAACGATATGTCTCCCCACAACCTTCATAGTAAATTAGTAACCAATTGATATTATAGCATATCTTTGGCTGAGTCGTTGACATCTTCTGCCAGGTGCATTATAGCAGGCATCATCATGACTGTGCACTTCTCAGCTAAAACCTACTGTAAGTGACTGCAGTTTTGCTCTGCAACATTTCTTTTTTTTTTTTTTTTGTAAAACAATGCATCATGCCTCTCGAGAGACAAATTGTTCGGCGTGTCTAACCACCAAGCATAAGTTAAACAGACAGCTTTTTGTAGTGGTCAAGGGTCCGGCCAGTCTGAATCCGTTTGCTTTAACTGTGTTTTTCTTGTAGGAATTTGCTCTCTCTCATCCACCGAATGATCGAGTTTGTGGTGCGTGAAGGCCCAATGTTTGAAGCCATGATCATGAACAGAGAAATCAACAATCCTATGTACAGGTCAGTGCAACTGCAAACCAGTAATGTATCACCTTTTTATAATTTTAGCAGTGTTTTGCAAAGGCACGATGTGTATACTCATGTTTATGTTTTCTTTTTCTTCCAGGTTTCTATTTGAGAACCAGAGTCCGGCACATGTATACTACCGGTGGAAGCTCTACACCATACTACAGGTTTGATTTTATGTTTAAAAACAGCTCAAGTACAAAATCAACACTACATTTCAGTGGTGTCACAGTCCAGTCAGGGTTTGTTTTGATATTAATTGTAAATTATTACTTGCTCAGGGTGAAGCACCAGTCAAATGGAAAACAGAGGACTTTAGGATGTTTAAGAATGGCTCTTTGTGGCGTCCGCCTCCTCTTAATCCATACCTCCATGGTCCTTATGATGATGGGGAGGAAGAGGAGGAAGAGGAGGATGCGGGCAAGAAAGGCTGCTTGAAGGAAGAGTAAGACTTTATTTCCTTTTATGCATTTTGGCTTTAAACTGTATCATCTTGTGAGTCATCAGACCTTTGCTGCGGCCCTGCTGTTAGATTTACAGCTAATTGCCCTTCATCTCTGCAGAGAACGGGACAAACTAGAGGAGATGCTGCGTGGTTTGACTCCCAGGAGGGGCGACATAGCAGAAGCCATGTTGTTTTGTCTCAGCCACGCCGAAGCAGCTGAAGAGATTGTGGAGTGCGTCACAGAGTCTCTCTCCATCCTCAAGACCCCTCTTCCCAAGAAGGCAAGATATAACACTGCTAAGAAAAGGACCAGTATCATTTATAAATGTCAAGTTCTGTGGTAGAAAGTTGAAAAATTAATTTTCTGTACATTTCAGATTGCACGGTTATATCTAGTTTCTGATGTCCTGTACAACTCTTCTGCCAAAGTAACCAATGCGTCTTACTACAGAAAATAGTAAGTTGTGTCATTTGTCCTCCTATATTCCACAGCACTGTAGATTTATATAGAAATAGATATACCCAAGTCCCTACTTCGGTTTCAGATTCACATTAATGCTCTTACCCTCTTCAACAGTTTTGAGGCAAAGCTCTGCCAAATTTTCTCAGATCTCAACGCAACTTACAAAGCGATACAGGGCCACCTTCAGAGTGAGAACTTTAAGGTACCAAATGTCCAAATCGCGCTAAGTGAACTAAATCCAATAATTTACACAAGTGGTTTGTCACCTACAGTATATCACTCGACTAACCCTTGTCTTGGTTTCTTCTTTGTGGCAGCAAAGAGTAATGTCATGTTTCCGGGCATGGGAGGACTGGGCTGTGTACCCGGACCCCTTCCTTATCAAGCTGCAGAACATCTTCCTGGGTCTAGTTAATCTGTCTGCAGAGAAGGAACCCCCTGCCATTATTGTGGAGGTAAGTGATGTAACAATACCTGATGATTGCAATAGCCTCAAAATTCTCTTTATAATAACCTTTCCTAACAGTTACTCCAGTCCTAACTTGAATTTTTTTGCTCCATCTTTGGCACAGGCTGAGCCGGCAGAGGACATTGATGGGGCTCCAATAGGGGAGTATGTAGATGGCAGTCTGCTGGAGGATGTGGATGGGGTGCCGATTGACGCAGGGCCCATTGATGGGGCTCCTATTGATGGAGCCCCCCTGGATGACCTCGATGGTGTCCCTATCAAGACCATGGAAGAAGACATAGATGGAATACCTTGTGAGTGGCGCAGAGATTAACACAGGATGTTGTATAAAATGTTCTTTTACAGTGACTAAATTTACGGCTGATTTCTCTGGTTTTTAAAGTGGATCCGTCCAAGGAGGCAACCTTTAAGGTAGCACCCTCGAAATGGGAAGCAGTGGACGAGTCTGAGTTACAAGCTCAAGGTGAGACATTTTAAGTAGCATCATTGAAATGTTTTGACTTCAGAACATAATCGTTGCCACCAGTTCTGTTGTATGCATTCGTAGTTGCAGTTATGCTGTCTTGTTTGCTCCTTAGCTGTGACAACTTCAAAGTGGGAGATATTTGAGCAGCCAGAAGAAACAAAAAAGTGAGTTTTGTGTGTGCTTTCTTATGAGGATAATGGTGCGTTCTGTTCAGTAAATACATCAATGGACACTTTTTAAAAAAAACAAACAAACAACTGTATTTCAATTCTGAAGGGATGAGGGCGACAGTGACGATGATGACAGGAGCCCTCGCTCAGAAGATAATCAAAGCTTCTCCAACCCCATCAGAGATGACTTGGATATTAAGGCCAAGATGTCTGAAATGAATGAGGAGAAACGCACCAAGCTCAGAGAGATAGAGGTACTGTACAAACACCAAACCCCCATGCTATACATACCAGCACATCATATTAGTGGTATGTATTCAATATTAAATTCATTGTTTTGACCATTTTCCTTTTGTGGTTTTGTTCACCCAGGTTAAGGTCATGAAGTTCCAGGATGAGCTGGAGTCTGGGAAAAGGCCCAAAAAGCCTGGGCAGAGTATTCAGGAGCAGGTGGAGCACTACAGGGACAAATTACTACAAAAGGTACTGAGTTAGGCATTGCAGATTTTTCTATATGATATAAACAAAAACACAGGAATTGAAAGGCAAAATCTGGGTCATTTGTTTCTTTACTGTAGGAAAAAGAAAAGGAGAAACTTGAACGGGAGAAAGAGAGGGAGAAGAAAGAGAAGGAGAAAGCTGAGACCAGGTTGAAAGACTTGAAGAAGGAAAAAGAGAAGGAAGACACGCCAACCCGAAAAGACAGGTGAGATAACCAGTTGGCCAGTAAAGGTGTTAGGTCTAGTATTTGGGAGTGTGCTTTGTGAAATGTGATTCCCTATCTGACAGACATTTGTCCCCTTGGGCTGATAGGAAGCGGCGTCACAGTGGGTCACCCAGCCCAACGCGGAGTAGCAGCAGACGAGGCCGGTCATCCTCACCGCGTTCAGAGCGGTCCGAAAGATCAGAACGCTCCGACCGCTCATACTCTAAAGACACATCTTCCCGCACTTCCCATAAAGACTCCCCGCGATCCAGCAACAAAAAGTCCTCCAAGAGGTAAGGCTAACTGGCCAGTTCTTCTCCTGATGTCATTAGAGCCAGGTGTTTAACTTACTTTTTTTACCTTACAATCATCAGTTTCTTTATGAATTGTTGTAGGGTTCTGAGTTAAAACATTTAGATGTAACTGAATAGTCATGTTTTTCCCCTTTAGGTCTCCCTCACCTCGCACACCCAAACGATCCAGGAGGTCGCGCTCCAGGACACCCAAGAAATCCGCTAAGAAGTCCCGCTCTAAATCAAGGTCACCTCACCGGTCTCACAAAAAATCAAAGAAGAGCAAACACTGACGTCTTTTCCTCCAACCCAGCCGATTCTCCTCCCTCCCCACTCTTTCCTTTTCCGCGCCGTGTTGTATAAAAGATTGACTGACTGATAAGGCAGCTGATGATTACTGCCCAAAAGTTAATGTATAGACAATGAAGAGTGGAGGGTGCTGCATGGGTTTGCCATCTGGTGTATCAAATGGATGGAGCCATTGCTGTTTTATATTGTACAAAAAAATAATGTGCTTGTGTGTCCTGATTCCCCCCATGACCTCCAAATGGAATTCATCCATGTGGTAGACCACACCCATACAGAGTGTGATGACAATAGTCATATTCATACGGTCATTTTCTGTTTTTGTAGCTCACATTAAAAGTAATTCCTAATAAAGAAGTGTCATTTTTACCTCAAACTTTTAATGGAATGATTTCAGTTCAAGCAGGTTGCAGAGAAATGTATACAACTAATTATAAATCAGTCATTTACTTACACTTAGTGTAATTTGGTAGCAGGATAGTTCATGGCAACTGAAAATGCTGCTTTTTTGTTAAGGCAAATTGCAATTTAGTGAAGCTGTTGTGTCCATGTGATGGCCATTACTTTACAGCTTGGCATGTGCTTTCTTTAGTTGATCCCTTAATTCAAGATGAGCAATGGAGGAGAGGTGGACTTCATCTGGCCCATCAGCAATGCGTAGAGTCCGCACATATGAATACCTGAGGAAGAATGATATCAGCATCAGGAAGGGAGATGGCGCTCATTCTCATTTGTGAGGAGAGGGGAGAAAAAGGAAACCTACATCTGGGCTAGTGGGACATCTCCAGACACACCTGCACCTCCATATACCTGTATAGCACAGTCCACCACTTTACAGGCCATCCTGGCTGCTGCCACCTTGATCATAGCAATCTAGAAAGCAGAACAGTTAAAGTAACAAAAAGAGGGTTTACGCAAAGACCAAAATCCAAACTACATAATCATTCTAAAACTGTTAATGTAAGCAATACAAAGTATGCTCAAATGTCAGTATCCATACAAAAATGTTTCATTGGAGTGTGACAAACCAGTGTTTGTCTACACTGGTCTCCCATGATGCAACGCTCAAAGGATATACATTAGATGTTCGCAGCTAAAACTAATTCTGAAACAGCTTTTAAAAAAGTGTTAATTGTCATTAAGCTGCAGCGGCATTCTGAACAAGTATAGTATTTTTTTATGGTTTCATTGCTTACCATTAGTATATAGTATGGAACTGAGATACAGCATGTTCCTATGTTCAATACAGAATTTTACCTGTTTGCGAGCAGCCCGGCTCCCCAGTGTATCCAGGGCATGAGCAGCATTTAGTGTCAGCAGGCGGGTCTGTTCAATCATGAGACGGCACTCTGCTATCCAGTGAGCAACAACTTCCTACACATACAACATAAACAACACTATAAAGAGCCTATTCACTCTTGCTAAGGGGTTTTCAAAGTCCAAGACTGAGGGGGCCCCCCCCCTTAGACAAAGCTTGGGAAAAGGCGCCCCCTCACTCCCCTTTGTTTACTTGTTTAGTTTTGCATACTTCCTGCAGAAAGTGGGAAAAACAAGTTCCCCAAAACTACTGTATCTATGAAGTATCTCACTGGCAAAATCACATATTTAGGCTTTTCTATGTTATAGTCTTTTGATAACTAACAGTATTTTTTTCACTTCCATTCACTGAGCCTCCCCCCCCGGGAGGCCCGCCTCCCACTTGTGAAAGAAAACCTGTCTCTAGTTGTATCTAAAAATGTGTCCACTAGGTGTCAATAGCAGGAAGGAGCTCTGCACATGCTAGAGTACCACAGTCCTGAAATTAGAGTTAGAGGTATCTCTCAGGTCAGTGTTCACTTACATGTTGGTACAGTTTCTTTCCAAATGTGTGCCTTGAGGCTGCCCGCTGGCACAGCAGCTCCAGTGCCAACTCTGTCAGACCAACAGCCCTCATACAGTGGTGCAGCCTGCCCGGCCCCAGGCGACCCTGGGCAATCTCAAATCCCCGGCCCTCTCCTGGAAACAAATACACAGGGACAGAACCAGAGACATAACAGAAGAGATGCCATGAATTCTCCCAGGAGGGAGATTATATCTCTGTCTTACTGACATCATTCACATAACTGCCAAGCCAGTATCACTTTATTGTTGAAACAGAATAAAGGAACAAAGAACAGTGTATTTTATTGGTGTGTTCAGCAAGACCTAATGTGACTAAATAAATTGAACAGCAATACAGCCTCTTACCTAGAATAATGTTGGAAGCAGGGACATGCACATTTTCCAAGTGCACTTCAAAGTGGCCACCATGGATGGCATCTGAGCACAGAAATGAGTGGAAAAAATGTTTATTTTGGTCAGGAAAGCTCTGTAACGTTTTGCATGCAAAAGAAAGGTAATTTATATTGTGGAAAAATATGAACAGCATATGAAGATGGCAATGACAGGCATAATCCTACCATCTTGTCCAAACACGGTGAGCGGTCTGATGAGCTTTACGCCTGCAGTGTCCATAGGGATGAGGATCATACTGTGTTGGCCATGCCTAAAAAACAAGTTTATAACCAAAGCTTCAAAGGACAGTTTACGGTTTACCACAATAACAATTTTGACTAGGTTTGACATGCTGCTCAAAGCGCCCATGGCTGGTGAGAACCTCAGATTTATTTTACTCTCTTTGCATTGGGTGTGTGCCTTATTACACTGCTGACAAAACAAGGAGAAAGTGTATTACATATTTTGGGTGTGGTTGTGAGAGATTTGTTTTCATGGACATCTTAAATGCTTGTAACTCAAGAGTTCAGTGCAGATCAGTTCCAATTAAAATAAAAGCCGCAAAATCTAACTGATTTAACAAGTGTCAACAAGATTAAATTGATACATTATTTTTCTGCCATGTGATCTAAACCTCTGGCAGACAGACTGGGCAGGGCTGTTAAAATTCAAGTGCATGCTGGGAAGTACATCCTGTCCCCTAACCAAAGTCCATTTCCATTATATCAGTGGCACAGTGGAAGTTTAATATAGCCTCCAAAGTAAAGTGCAAATCATTTAAATATAAAACCATGTATATAAAACCAGACGAGTAACTTAAGTGGCAGAATTGGAAGATTGCTAAGATTCCCGGAATAATAAAACGTGGTTAAAAACATGACATCAGAAGCCTGAAGTCTTGCGCATATTCAGAAGAAGCCGTTTTAAAAATATATATATATTCCCACTAACCAGAAACAAACATCCCAATATTCTTCACCACATGGCCGTTCTACTGACCTGCTGCTAACATCCTGGGAACAGCTCCTGCACATCACAATGGCCACTTTGCACTGGGGATTGCCAGCACCTGCGGGGAACAGTCAAGAGCGGCTGTGGTTAATTTGTATTTGTGCTTTGTTGCTGTCTGGTGGTATGACAAAAGACAAGCAACCTTTCACAGTTTGACTCTGTCCTTAACCATTCCATAACCAGAGTGTGGTCAGAAACAATGCGTGTCGCCGGGTGGGACGTGCCAAACGTGGAGCTCATGACAGATTGACGGCATGAGTCAGCTGAGAGGGCCCCAGGTTGATTTACATTTCCTGAGTTGAATTATTTCTCATTGAGTAACATTGCAGCGTGTCATCAAGCAGATCCTGTTTGTTGGAGAGAAACTGAAAGTAGAGTATTTGCTGCATAAAAGGTTTTTTTTTTATGGCTTTATAGCCGCAAAAAAAACATTAAAACCGCACAAAACACCCACTAGAGGGCAACATCATATGGACATCATAGATCATTTTTACAGTATATCATACTGTACATACTAAACAAAGTGGAAATTAAGTGATTATGTGAAATGTTTGATAACCAGATAGCTGCAGTGCACACAGTGATAATGACAAAATGCAGAATACTTTGGAAATTTCCCTGGTTTGGAATGAGACCAACACTCTCCCTTAGGCGCAGACAGGGTGACCACCAGACTGCCTTCCTGTTTATATTGCTGTCCAAGCGGCAAAACTGTCCCCTCAGGACAGGACATATGGACACCAGACAGCAACAGACGGGACGTCAATAATCTTTAAATATTCACAGTATGAGAATCACAGCAGGAGTATGCTTAGATAAACACAATCTGACAGATGTTTGGTGTTTGAGATCATTCCCTTGATTGCAGAAATTTAAAACCTAACAATTATTATGTTTGCACTATAACACAGCGCAAAAAGTTGTCACCCTACTCCACCCAAAAAACCACATCTAGGAAGGCCTGTTTGGCTCGGGGGTAAGTTGGGTTTTCCTGTGAATCCTTACATAAGTCTCATGGTCCATGATATACAAGGTGAAGTCTGCTGCCATGCAACGGCCATGCCCATACACGTCTTATCACCACTGGAATGGAAAATAAGCCTTCCCAGCCCAGTAATCTGTCTTACTGAGAATGTGATATCCAGACATCATTGTTGTTGTTGATTTGTGTTGGAAAAAAACTTCATGTCAGTATGATATAAATCAAAAACTAATTCTTTGAAAAAAGAAAGTCTGATTTTTAGACAAAATTATATTCTCATTAAAAATGATGATGCTTTGATTTCTGTTTTTTGTTTCCAAATCCTTTTGCTTTGTAGATTTATTAAATTTAATTTATTTATATACAGATGCATAAAACAGACTAAGAGAGGGATTTAAAACTGGTGAACAGATTCCGAGGAAGCTTAAATAAGGAAACACTGTTCATAAGTATTTTGGTTTCTCCTTTTCTTAAGTGCCATTCATACATTTCACGGAATTTCAATAGAACGGTTTAGTGCACTGAAGATTTGCTAATGTGCGTGAGGTTGGTAAACAATGTATCCAACGCACTATAACAAACCAGTATTGGCTACATTCCAGCAAACCACAATCAACAATAGAAGCAAACAAAGGGCAACCACCAAGGCACTCCCTGCGTGACATCAGGACGGGGAGATTAACTTATCTGTGATTGAAAAACAGCTCGTCCTCACCCATGACAGTAAGGACTTCATGAATTTATTTATCCATTTATCCTGCAACATAACACGCTCTTAAAGACACGTGCATAGAAAACGACATAGTGAAGAGAGGTGCTCCTAGGGTGTTAGCAGTGAAGGCAGTGGGCAGGGCTGAGGCAAATGAGATCAGTCACTTCAGCCACTTCAGCCCCGTGCTGCACACAACTTTTCTCCTCAGGATTCATACCAACCGCTTGTGTATGATTAAAGATAATCTGCTTTACAAATCCCACACAAGGTAAGACAATCATTTCAACTTTAACTTCCACTTTAATCAATATTTTGTGACTTCTTTGTCAACTTCAAAACAAGTCAAATTATCACAAGAAGAATGTAAAGCATCCTGGAATCTTACATCTTCTTTACCGTATGTGCTGACAGAATTGTATTGTATGTACAGTGTTGTTTGCACCTTATGTTTTTTAAACATATGCCATTTTATAGGTTTGTATTGTATTATTATTGTATTGTATTATAGGTTTGAAGTCAATAAACTACTTTTTACATTTACTTATGACACCGTGATATATATATAGTCAAGAACTGTGAGCTATTTTCCAATAGTCAAAGGTTCACTTTATTGTTAAACTAACAGTCAAAGTCCTTCTCAGGATATTTTATGACATCATTAAAACTATAGTGAGGTAATGATAAAAAGATAAACTTAGGCTGTTGCGTTCTGTTTATGTTTGTCTCATCAGTTTTTGCTCTTTGTAAACACTTGGCTTTCTCACAGAGTCAAATGACTAAAGTATATCAGTATTATGAGAACTGTTAGTGTAGTTTCTACCACATCACAGGATAAACAGGACCTTTGCCTCTTTAATCTTTTCATCCAGTTTTTCTGACATAACTTAAAATAAATTAACTGCACAATGTGTGATCCAAATGAAGACAAAAAGGTCGTTACACAACCAAAATAAAATAAACCTACTCCTGACTGACAGGCTTTTCAATATATAAAGTAACACAAACAGCAGTAAAACTACTCTGATTAATCACAAACATGATTTCCTTTCATCACTATATTAATCTATTAAATTATAAATCCAAATACATCTGTCATTTGGCCTTTAACTACATTTCCTTTCTACATTTAGCTTGTGAAGAACAAATGACCACATTAAAAACATCCATCAACCTATTATGCTACCCTTACATATGAAGTGCAGCTGTCTTACAGCACTGGAATTCTTAACATATTTCTGAATGTTGCAATGAACATCTGCTTCAGTAACTACTACTTCTACCATGCATGACATAATGACACATTATATAACAAACCTTGACATTTTTTATAAAGCCACTGTTGTCATCTTAGCAGCGAGTGTGATTTGCCAAGATGATCCTAGGACGCAAAATATTCTGGTTCTCAGCCAGGAATTATATCATCCGTAATGTAATGTGTTTTGCAGTTGGATTTCCTAAATTCCACATGATAGTGAATTGATTAAAATTCAAAATATGAGAGAGAAGTACTCAGTTTGACACAATGTTCCTTAAGGGATCGTTAGATATTTTTCCAAGCACCAAGAATGATCTGTATTTGATCAGAGCCAGTCAGTCGCCATGTCCACCCACATGAACACAGTACTGTGTTTTACTAGTCCTCAGTAGACACGACATCTCCATATGGAGCGAACAACTGGGGAGGGGATGTTAACAACACAGTGAGGCTGGATGAAAAAGTCTCACTTCAACAGGATGTCCTGTTGAACCAGCATCTACAGTAAAAGCAACATCCTGAATTTGAATCTGGAAAAAAAAGACCTTGGTTGCACTTGTCTTGTGTGTTATTCCCATCACTCCCTCCACATATTTCCTGTCGTTCTTGACTTGGACTGTCTCCTCAGGGCAAACTGACTGACTTTGGAAATGTACGTGTGGATGAATGAGTTCACAGATCAGATAAGTTTCACCAGCTGTGAATGTGCTGGTGCTCTCCTACAGAATACACAGTGGGTGTTTTGAGTTTGCAGCACAGATTGTACCGTTATGCATTGGGGAAAAGATTTAGAAGCTTTATAATAAACACTGTTCTGTTTCCTTATTATTCAAAAGGGTGAATAGTTGCTCTGTGAGTCTCTTTCCTACTTTTTGTTTTCAGGAGGTGCTGACTGGGGCTATTCAAGCCCCACACACAGTTCAGACAGACAGGGCTTAAGCAATTAGGGAAACCATGCAGGACAGATTTCTTTGATGCAGAATACAGAAAGAGCTCCTTTTTCCGGCTACTAAGGAAAAGCTGCTCATGAATTAAAAATGCACTCTGCACCAGACACTTGCAATGGATGGATGGAAATATAACAATATGTGCAATTAAAAAGGGTGAAGTGACATTTTCAAAGAACAAAACAAATGCTTCACTAAATTGTAATCTTTTTGTTTCCCTCTACAGCATAAAAAAATGGAAGATTTCTATTATCATGACGATGAGAACTCCAGCATAAACGACACTTACGATTACAATTACGAGCACTCTGTTTGTGACAAGGAAGCAGTGCGCTCTTTTGCCGGTGTCTTCCTCCCGGTCATATACGCCCTGGCTCTGGTGGTGGGCCTGGCCGGGAATGCCCTGGTAGTGGTGGTGTACGCATCAAAGGTGCGACTACGAACCCTGACAGATGTGTGCATCCTTAACCTCGCCATTTCAGACCTGCTGCTTCTCTTCACCCTGCCTTTCTGGGCGGCGGATGCCATCCATGGCTGGAAGTTGGGTTCGGCAGCCTGCAAGCTCACGTCCTTCCTCTACAGTGCCAACTTCAGCTGTGGCATGCTTCTGCTAACGTGCATCAGTGTGGACCGCTACCGTGCTGTAGCCCAGAATCCAACAGGCAGGTCTGCGACAGGTCCCCGTGTCAGGAGACAGTGGCTCCTGGTGTGTGTGGTGTTGTGGGTTGTAGCCAGCTTTCTTGGCCTTCCCGAACTAATCTTCTCCACAGTGAAGCACTCCCATCAAAGGATGGCCTGTACAGCAGTCTACCCAACCAACATGGCCCGGCCGGCAAAGGCTGCCCTGGAGCTGCTAGAGGTGACCCTTAGATTCCTGCTCCCTTTCTTGGTCATGGTGGTTTGCTACAGCTGGGTTGGCCGGGTGCTGAGCCGGGCAGCTGGGGTGCGGAGAGACCGGAAGTGGCGTGCCCTGCGGGTCCTGCTGGCTGTGGTGGCTGTATTCCTGCTCACCCAGCTCCCCTACAATGTGGTCAAGCTGTGCCGAGCGATGGACGTCATCTACATCCTGGTGACAGACTGTGAAGTTAGCAAGGGCCTGGATCGTGCTGTCCAAGTGACAGAGAGCCTGGCGCTGACCCACGCCTGCATTAACCCGGTCCTCTATGCCTTCATCGGATCCTCCTTCAGGGGACGCGTCCTCAAGGCTGCTAAGCTCCTTGGACAGCGACTTGGGAGACACCCGAGACACGTCAACGAGGAGCTGGCAGTGGAGATTGCACTTAACACGCGCACTCAAACGCAATCCCAGTCGGGTTCTGAGCAAGACACGAGCACCTTTACTATTTAAGACTCAAAACATGCATCTACTTCCTGTAAACGCCAACACAAAATTATATGTCTATGTATATATATTTACACATCTTTACTATCACACAAGATAGACTTGAATAATCGTTACTATTCATTCTTAATGTAATAAATAAATGTACAGTGAGTTTATATGCACTAACTTAGCAGCAAAGCAAGTATTTTGTATAAATTATGTGTTTTGTTAAATAAAAGATTTTCAGTGACACACCTCTACCAACATCTGATGCAATGAAATGCAACTGAAACTCACGACGCTCTAAGTATTGCTCTAGTTCCTCGCAACAAATCCAATTCAACCTTACAGTCTGCGCTGCCTTCCTAGAGATCATCTGCATCTCATTCAAACACATCCCGTGGCTTTGAGACGGGATGACGGACCGCTTGATTGCACAGTGGGTGTCCTATTGAGTTGCAAAAACATTTGGCAAACAAACACAGAACAGCAAACAGCAGGCAGGACCCTTCCATGCCATCAAACTGGAAAAAACAGGAAAGTGGCATGTTCTTTGGAGGAGCTATAAGTGTAACTGACGTTTTTATCCACTTGTGTTTTTTATATTTCATTTATATCAGCTTGAAAAAGCAAATGGTTTGCAGTAGAGTGCAATCCTTAATTGTATGTTGTGGATTAACATTTTAGTGGTATGTTCATTCCAGAGTGCTAAAAATGGTCTTTTCCACTAAGAAATGACTCACTGCCATCATATAACATCATCCTCAAGCTAACCCTAATAAATTCACCACATATCAAATCACAGCTCAGGGCTTGGATGACCGCAGTCCTGGAGTTAACAGTGCTTTCTTCAAGCCAAAGATCTTCATAAAACATTTCTTTGTTTACCTTTATTTCCATCTACAGTAGAAGTTAGTCATCAACTTTCCACTGTAATGGCTTACAGCTTGACTGTGTGGGTTGAGCTGGACTCCAATACAAACTAGGTGTGTCTCACAAGAGAGACAGAATGTTTAGGCTTGAGTGTCCTTGCTGAAGAAAGAAAAGTATTATGTTTCCTATCATTCCTGTATGACCCCACTTAGTTATGTATCAATAAGTCACTGTTAAACTCTGCCTTCATAATCTGCATTTCATTTGAATTCATTATTGTCTGAGCCAGATGTACATCAGGCTTTTCTTAAAGCAGTAAATAATTTATAAAAAAATAATTATTGGCAGACATTACATGTCTCAACATTATTAACACAAAATCATATGACTGTTCAGTAAAACAATCTTAATTATTTTACTTGTATGTCGATTTCATTCCACTAGCAAAATAGTAATAATGTTAAACATATGTACATTGTCTGTGCTTGTGTGAGAGTGTATGCAAATACAAACGCCTATGGCTTTAAAGATAAAAGATTGCAGGTCTGGGAATAATAGTGCATTATGATGTCCATGGGACAGTCTTACATAGCTTCCATACCACAGAGCTGCCCTGGAAACATCTACCCTTCAATCTACTAGCTACTCAACTGCTGAGAAAGAGAGAAAGGAAGGAAGAAAACTGCATTACTCTGTACTTTTCATCTAAGTGGAGAGGCCCATATTTCCAGTAAGTTTAACTTACGGTGGGTTATTTCATGAGAAGTAGCGGACATTCAAAAAAGCTACCACAACCTAATGCAGGAATTGCTGTGTAATTATAATGACATACAGGAAAACAACCACAGATGAAAAGTCCCTACTTTCTGTCCTCTATGGGAAAATATACTGTACAGATATAAACAAGTGCACAAATCCTCTGCCAAGAGCTCGGACAACTTTTGGGGAAACACCCATAACGTCAGTGAGGAGCTGGCAGTGCACACTGCATTTGATACTTGGAAAGAATGAGATACAATAGCAAAACATGCTTTAACGTAATTTTAATTAACACAGCATTTTCCAGTTTTACTTCCACTTTGGGTGGAAAAAAGAGAGAGAGTGTCTGGATATTATGACTCACTATTATATATTCATTCTGGCAGAGGACAGTTTCACAACCCCAAAAGAATTTATTTTACCGATGGAAATTTCACTTCCAAGGAAAATAGAAATATTAAGGAAAGACTGACTGTGTCACAGACACTGAAAAATGCACTTCATAAATACGATAATTTGAAAGAGGAAATTCTGCTCATTTCTGGTAAACCATAAAACTTTAAGGTTTCAGCAACAAGAAGGAATTCCATGTAGAATAACAGGCCACTGTTTTCCTTTAAAACCTCTGAGCACATCTGTGTCAGCGGAAACATCTGGATTATTTTAAAAGTCACAGTGATTTAGGAGGTGCATGATAAACATCAAAAACACCAAAATGAGTTTTGGATATTTAAGTTATAACCCGCAGTTAAATCCTAAATACTTGAGGCTTAATTTTATGATGTTGGTGGTGGAGAGAGAACTAAGTCGAATTATGTTGTTTATTCATTAAACCAGATGTTATTAAGCAAACTAATTTACAAAGCCAATCAGAGGTCAAAGATAGACTAGTAGTGCACTATAAATTGGAAGAATAAAGACTCACACATGAGTCACAGATTGGTCCAGAGAATTAAGACACCGAATGTGTGCATGCAGTCAATTCAGTGGAGCATCAACAGTGAGATGTTTTTAGCGGCATTTGCATTTATTTTAAGGACATTTAGCCATTTCTGTCACCTTGAATTACTTAACAATGACTCATCAATTAGATGTTAAAATGTCAATTGATGAACACACACTGAGTGTATTGTATGTTTGAATCTGTGACCTTATACTGGTCAAACCTGCTGGCAAACCAAGCCGCTCTGCCAAATATTTTCCAGAATGGAAATGGATCCATTAAAAAGCTGTTTAGCTTATACACTGCTCACTGTATGAGTCATCTGGGCATTTTTGTTGTCCATATGTTAGCCGTTTGGCTAAGCATTTATCTCTTTAGTGCCTTGTTATAGCAACATCTTGATTACATATAAACCCACCTCTTTCAGAGAAAAGCTCGAGCACATAATGGAGAACAACTTTTTAGGTTTAAGCTTTTAATATTGCCTTGCATAATGACTTAAAGCAAGTTGAACTAGGCAGAAAAAAACCCCAACTCCTTGTTGTTTTTGCGTCTGTCTTTAGTTCTAAATGGAGCAGAAGACTATTTTTATCTTTTATTTGACAGGACAGTGGGTAGAGTGCTGAAATGAGGGAGAGAGATAGGGGGCAACATGCAGCAAAGGGCCACAGGCTGGATTTGAACCTGCACCGCTATTGTAAAGACTCAGCCTTGTACATGGGGTGCACGCTCTACTAACTGAGCTAACCGTGCCCTTGTGTTCTTGGTAGGATGATATGAATGTTTTTTCCTGATAAAACTAATAGAAATAGAAATAAACATACCACTGCTCCACCATTTCTTGCCATTTATGACGTAGTTGTCTTCATCCCTGCGAAGAGTGCACTCCATGTTGGTTGCATCACTGGAGGCCACATCAGGCTCTGGGGAAGGGACCACAGGTCACCTTAAAACTCACACCATACACATTTTACACCAAATAAAAGATAATAAGCAATGAGACTTGGACTAACAAGTTTCACATCCCCAGTGCCCTGCCATTGCTTTATGTTTAATTGTAATAAAATTGTATACTCTCATTGTTTTATGATAATGAGCACAGTCTTTTAGCTAAGAACACGGGGTGATGCTTTATCTTTTCTGCTTCTGTGTGAAAATGTCGGTTCCCAACAGGTGTGAAATGTTATCAAATGGCCTTCAACTTACAGTTCTCAGCAGACAGAGGCTGAGAAAGAAACTCCCTAAGGAAGACAGATAGTGCTACAAATGAACAAGGGTCAACTGTGTTAATCTCTGAGGGTGACAAAATGAATGTGAATTATGAGACTGCAAGCAGAAATATGACTGATGAAGTCCACCACGATATCTGTCAGCTGACAAGCTCAGAGATCCATTTGCAAATGATTGACTGAATTTTGCAATAAAATACTGTTTGTTTTGTACTCTCTTTATTAAACTACAGAAATTTCTACAGCTACCTTTTCCAAAATTCCAGCTCAAACCACAGGCAGAGTGGTTAAATAAACTGAGCACACTCACACCATTTTCCTACATAAACTCTACAGCAGATGACTCGTATCAATTATTAGCACAAAATGGAGGTTCCTGTTTCTCAGAAGCCAATAAAATAAATCCACCAAACCGGTGACAAAAAACATCCACAAAATTTTACTGTGTTTATGAAAAACCACCTGGGAGGTTCACACCCACTGTAATCACCTCTGGCAGCAGCGTTCTGCTGTTTCCAGGGAGAAATTACTCACAGTGGGTTAGTGTTTGTTGTTTGCAAGAAGAATTTCCAAACAAGCCTTTTACAGTCTGTCACAGCCGTGCTGTGTGTATCATGGCTCATTTAAGACCATGACCAATATTGGAACGTTTGGCAGAAAACAACTATTTCGAGGACTGAACTTTAACAGTATATTGTAACTGTTGTTGTAAGTGTTAAAAGAGGCCTCCTCAAGTCTATAGTAAATTATTTCACTTTTTAAATTACAACACTTTCTTCTCTTATATCTCCACTGACTAAATAATATTATATGTTTTCTTCATTCAATCTTTTGTAAAGCACAGTAACCTGTGACACGAAGCACATGTAGTAGGGCTGAAAACCTAATTGAAATCTTACTGAGACGACAACATTTTTTTTAAGATTTAAGGTGCAATATTTGTTAAAAGCAAAATGTGTGTCAGAATACCATTTTAAATAAATATTGTTGTGCTGCAGAGATTTCCTAGCCTACACATCATATTCTACAGAGCTAAGAAAACATTTTTTTTGGTACAGATCCTTACAAAAATCCCACCATAATTCCTTTAAATGCTTTTCAATGAAAATAAGAATATTTATGTAAAAATGATCATTCCCTCCAATATCAAATCATTTTGCAATATCTGTAAAGATAATATTTTTTCAAAATCATTCATCCTTAACACATAGGCAACTCTTTAAGTGAGGCAGGAGGACATGGCCATGGAAATACCTGTCATGCAGAAGCAGGAGCGGATCTCTCCTCTGAGCAGAGGCTCCAGCCATTTCCTCTTCTGTTCCTCACTGCCAAACATGTGAAGCACCTCCATATTTCCTGTGTCTGTAGAGATGCACCACACCACATATATCTTCATGAATATCATGAACTAAATTTGAAAAAAAAATAATATGCTCTCCAGGATTTGAATTATACTGTTTTATCTCAACACATACATTAAAAAGGCCAATTTGGGGATTCTTTATTCTAAAATCCAGTGAATAAACTTAAAACTGGATTGTTGTTATGATAAAGACAAGGCTGCAAAATGTGGCATTTGGAAAGGATTTTACTTGACTATGGACAATGTCATCCACAACATGAGAAAACTATAATCTATGTTGTATAGTGCAAGGTCATGTTGTCAGTATGGTCATGCGAGTGACAAAATGGACCCGTAATACTGTCCATGGTCTTTCAAATTGATCTCAAAATCTAATGAAGCATGTTTTACCAGGAGCCTGGCAGTTGAAGACCTCGGGGGCAAAGAGGCAACGTCCAGTTTCCTCTGCAATGTAGGCATAGTCCAACTGACTGAGACCACTGACTGCAGGCAGGAACAGATTCCACAGCCCTGCTCCCTGGGCCTTCACCTGGACACACAGACACACATCTTATTATACAGAGTGTATATGCGTGTGCAAACTGAATGCTTATTTGAAGGAGATTCTGGTGATGACAAGCAGAGCTCAAGAAGTTGGAGCAGATCAGCGCACAGACGCAGACACAGACACAAATAACTGTATTTTTTGTTGAACTTAAACTCTTAATGATGGATGACAGTGTGCGGCTGACTCAGATGGGAGGTGCACTGTTTATACAAGATTTAAATAAACGTGGCCCTTGAACATGCTGGATTGATTTTGAAACATCTTTTTATATATATATATATATATATATATATATATATATATGTTGACAGATCTCTTAAAAAAACACCACCAAATTAAATAAAGGTTAAAAAAAAGATACAAAATATCCTTACATACCTTTAGATCTTTTATTATTTGAGGGGTGTGCCACCTCTGTGGAGACTGAGCATGCTTAGAGTAGTACTCTGCAACTTCCTGCAGAAAAACAACAGTTTTTACAGAGTAGTTTCTATATCAATATATTTCCTTTTGACTCTAATTTCACTTCTGAACTCTATCAGTGGGAACCTGTGCCATAACAAAAGAAATAAAAAAAATAAACCACTGCTCCCACAAATAAAAGCAAACAAGATTTGCAATGCCATCTCTTAGCATCACACTGCTGCACTGCATTAAGACCGCTATGAGGCCCACCGTACAACATAATTTGTGTAATCAAAAGACTCCCTGTTCTCTCGCTCGAATGAATTAGTTCTGATTGCATGAATGAACTGATGTGCTCTTGCAAATCTTTTCAACTGCAACTTGCAAAAGTCCATCTGTGCAAACAAATCTCTATTCTGTTCTTGGCTGCTCTTGCCACTGACCTCCTGAGCAGGAAGCACATAATGTCTCATGAAGTCTTTGACTTGCTGGAGAACAGCCCGACCTTTAGCCGTCTGGAGAAACAGACCGTCTTCTGTAGGACCTGTGACAGACCTGGCAAGAAACACATCTCACACTTTAAAAAGTCAACACAGAATATTAGAAGCAGCATCTTGATGCCAAATTCTAACTGCTGCTGGCTTAAGTTCAGTCAGCTAGTGGAATCAATCTGTTTTCTGGCCCACACTGAATTTAGAAAATATTCTATTACTAACAATGTTTGGGAAGTTTAATGCTAATTTTTATCAAACGTTATTAATGCTTATAGAGGGCACATTAATGCAAATTACTAAAATGAATACCTAAAAAACAGTCATGACTTTCATCGACTTCAAACAACTGCTGGGTGACAACTTATGGATAAAATAAAACCAGCCAAGTAGATATGAGTCAGATGAGCCATTTACAGCATGTATTATATTTTAAAAGTAATTATTGAGTCACTATTAATCAGCAACCCATCTAAAAACATTGACAGACATTTTCTTAGATAACTCTAGTAGGTGTAAGTGCAACCAACCTCTGCACAAGCTGCAAGGCAACCTTTGCCAAGGGCTCCACACACTGGCCGAACTGAGCTGCATTGGGAGCACTGGCAATACCCAGTAAGTGGCGTGCATAGATCCCCTGATGGTGAATAAAGGAGAGTGATGAATATTAGATTAAAAGATACACAGGCCCATCTGGGTCCCTCGTCAGTTAAGAACACAATACCAATAAATGATTAGATATTTTAAGTATCCGAACAATGTAATACTACAGTTATCATTTCAAAGCTATGTTTCACAACTGTGTATTACCTGCTCTGTGCACTTCACTTGCAATCTGTGGATATCTAAAAAGGAAAATAGGGATCCAAGTGCAGTAGAACTTAATATAATAAATGGATACTAGCCTGGGCAATTCCTGCCATTTTAAAGACTGACAGGGCCAAGTAGAAATTCAACTGCGGCAAAGCAAATGGGATACCCCGGCACCGGCAGTAAATGGAGTTCAGGTCATCCACAGTTGGGATACCTGCGCATTGGTTGGCGAGAGAAGGAGACAAAAACAATTGATTTAACAAACACTGTGTCTACAGTAACACATGTATTTTTAGACAAAGATATCCATCTATTTGAGCTATTTGTTAAACTTGTTACACTGTTCTGAGTTATTATTTGTTTGATAACATTACCTTCTACACCTTTTAAGCTGCCCATTGTGCTGATAATATTAAGGCTTGTAGGCCAGTAGTGAGGCATAAGAAAGTAGGCCAAGTCTGCCAAAGGCTGTCCAGTGGTAGACAGCTCCCAGTCCAACACTGCTATCACACGTGCCTAACGACATCAAATGCACTTTGTAAAGCATTACAGCCACATGAAGTGGATCAGTAAGAACACTTCTTTGGGAAGTTGTACCTCTGTTGGATGGAATATCAAGTTATCCAATCTGAAATCTCCATGGACAAGCGTGACCTCATCATCACTGGCTGGCAAATTATTCATCAGCCAATCAGACAGTTCATTCATGGCTGGAATGTCTCTCTGGGCTGCTGCATTGTACTGCTTTGTCCAGGTGGACACCTTTAGAGATGGAAAGCCACTTTTGAACGTCACAACTCCTTTTTCCAGAGAACTTGTTTAAAATTATTTTGATTTATTGGGTACAAGGTGTTATCTCACTTGTCTCTTGCAGTAGCCTGATCCTTTTCCATACCCTTCAAGGTTCAGTGAAGCCAGGTCCAATGAGTGAAGCTTTGCCAATACTTCCACTGCAGCCACATATAGAGCTGTTCTCTCTGCTGCACTCACTCCAGGAAGTCGGAGATCCCTGAATATACGCCCCTGTTCGACAGAGATGGATAAGCAGCAAGTCTATTTAATGACATAGTACAAAATGATTAACTTATGGTTTTTATTATGCCTATTTTAGGTGGTGCTGCAGCAACCAATTTTCATTTTTTATCCTAGAATATAGAGTAAAGCTCAAGCAAAACAGAAATAAAAATATTAGATGCTGGGAGTTCATTATTTTTGGCACAAATTTACCTTCACATGCTCCATCAAGTAGAACTCTGTTCCAATGATTTCATTATCAGTGCAGTGCAAGAGAGGCTGAGGTACAGGGAAGCCAGCAGAGAACAGGGCCTTTTGCACCCGATACTCCCTGTCCACCTGTAAACAATGTCACAAAGATCCACCATTTTATACTAAAACATCACCCACACTGTAAACCTTAAGATATTATTATAACTCTTTTTTCCCCCCCCACGGGTCTCATATATCCCTAAATCTTTGCTACCCATATATCAAACTGTGAGTCCATTGGAAGCTTTTTAACAATCCTTAAAACATTCCACATCTTTCATTCATTTGTACTATTCAACTTTTTTCTAGTCAGCAATTCAGTTTAGTGCAATATACATGGGGAATAATACATGTATATTTTCTTGGGTTTAAATTGAACTTTCAAGGAAATCCCAATGGAAAATAACGTAACAACAAAAGAACAATTCAACTCAAATGGCTGTCTTAGAACGTTGACTCTATTTTCCCTATAATTAGTACCAAATTACATACTCAAATTCTTTCCAGGAAACCTTTTAGGAAATTATTAGAAGATGTATGTGTTGTTGGGAGTTTTACAATGTAGAAGAATTGAGTATTTCTTCAAATATGTTCGTGCATTTCTGTCAAATATGGCTTACAGGCAAACACATAAATGTATTTGTGACTGTCCCTTTGACTTGATACCGTGAACAGAATACCCCAGCACACCAAAAAACATCATATGTCTCCCCCTGCTGAAGAAGTGCGCGGCTACACACAACAGTAGTGCCCAAGGTTTTGCTGACCAAAGTTCATTTGTGAACCCTTACCTACAGTCTTTGACCCTTACCTTGTGAGCCCCTGGCAGCAGCTCACCTGGGGGTTTCTTCCTGAGCACCAAGCTGTTTGAGGGTGTTTGTATTAGGAAGGTTGGGTTTGACTGACCAGCACTGAAAAGACAACAAGAAGCTGTTAGCGTGTGATCAGTTTAAATTAGCTAAACATGCTCTGTGCAATATGAACTTTCAAATGCTCGTTTAACGTCGCTGAGAAATTGTGAAACAAACCAGCTCTATGTATCCTAACTTACCTGTACTGTTTGACAGTGAGTGTGTCATTGTTAGACATCCGTGACTTAACAGACAGATAACTTTTAAGTCTGCCAACATTGAATTCATGTTGCTGTCGTACAGGAGTTGTTTGCTCGTCCATGTCTGTTAACGTTAAAGAGTAGGTTAATAATTTCCCAGGTGCATTGATGAGCTAACTTTCACAGCGTTGATAGTAGTCGGACCGTTTACAGATACACACACCGACGTAATGTACTCATCAATTTCTAGTAGTATATTTATGGCAATAGCTTACAGAAATTTAGTCGTTTTAAAATGTAACGGTCAGATATAATTCAACGGTCAGCTGAAATCCTCAAAAGACTGTTGGAATAGTCCACTAATAATATAGGAACATTTCGAGGTAACTGTACTCGTTTTCTGCACGGACATTGTTTACAAGAACACAGAATCAGACAGCTGATTTCACTTGTGAAGACGTGTACTTGCTGTACGGATTTAGCCGTGTAGATAGTTCACTTGCAATTGTATTTATACCATTATATTTCGGTAACATTGTTTAGCGATATTTGTCTTTAATAATGGCGACAGTAGAGGAGTTGAAGCTGCGGGTGAGGGAGCTGGAAAATGAATTGATAAAGTGTAAGCAGAGGCAGTGTGCTATGGAGGATGCTCCACCAAGCCAGGAACTTCACAGACCGAAGATTGACAAAATGAGCGCCGAAGTTGTGGATTCCAACCCGTACAGGTGATTTTTTTACCTCTGTATTTTGGCTTTGACAGGTTTTACCAGGACTGTTCATAACGCCGAGAGGCTACGCCTTATGAGTCACCCATCCCATATGGTGGTACATAATGGACCACAAGCTAATCTCAGCTGTGTTTTCATTGCAGTCGTCTAATGGCTTTAAAGAGAATGGGCATCGTGGATGATTATGAGGTATGAAATTTAAGGGTTATTCTTTTCTGAATCCAGTACATGAGTCTGTGGTTGCTGCTTTATCCCTAACAGAAATTATCATAATGCTCTAAAAAGATAATACTGAAAGTATGGAACAAATGATATTGTTCAATTTCCAATTTTCACACCCATGTGGGGTGCAACCTTCCACACGTCATTCAATATTAATACCAAGATGCATGGTAGTTTCAAATCCAGGTCCAAAACTATAAGTTTTTCTCACATAATATTAAAATATGAACTGATTAATTCTTGATAACTTAAAATAAATTAATTCCACATATGGCCAAATATCAGCACTGCACCAATATATCAGACTCTACCTATCAGTGTTACCTGAATGAAAGAGTGGATAAATTATTTTACAACATTAGGAAGGAATAATCATCTTCAAATTTTGTTGACAGAAAATCCGGACATTCACAGTCGCTGTGGTTGGTGTTGGGGGAGTTGGCAGTGTGACTGCTGAAATGCTCACTAGATGTGGCATTGGTAAGGTAATACAACCTTTTTTTTAAAAAAATATTTCTTCTACATTGCTTTATACCCGTTCAGTAGATTGTCTGCCTGTGCTTACCCCAATCTCCTCCATGCTTGCATCATCACAGTTGCTCCTCTTTGACTACGATAAAGTAGAGCTGGCCAATATGAACAGACTGTTCTTCCAGCCTCACCAGGCAGGTCTCAGTAAAGTGGAAGCGGCAGAGCACACACTCAGGTACGCTGGTGTTTATAGTAATCCAGTTTCCCCCCCCAAAATTACATGTTACGTGTTTCTTTTTGTTTACATGTTCCTCAATTTCTCAACAGGAACATTAACCCAGATGTGTCATTTGAGACCCACAACTACAATATTACCACCATGGAAAATTTTACACATTTTATGGAGCGCATCAGGTACTCTCCAGTTTTTAGTATTACTATTCTTTCTCCTCAGTGGTGCAGGCCTTTACAAAATATTACTGTGTCTTCTCAGTCATGGAGGGCTGGAAGAAGGGAAGCCCGTGGATTTGATCCTGAGCTGCGTGGACAACTTTGAGGCCAGAATGGCCATCAATACAGTAAGTACATCACTGTCACAAAAACAGAGCTGTTAAACACTGTTACTCTTGCAGATGGTAATAATTTTGTCATGTTTGTCCCAGGCCTGTAATGAACTAGGTCAGATCTGGATGGAGTCTGGTGTCAGTGAGAACGCTGTATCGGGACACATCCAGCTCATCATTCCCGGAGAGACGGCTTGCTTCGCTGTATGTCCACACAGAAAAATAATCTTTACCTTTTTAACACTGTTATACTTTTCCTTGCACTGAAAGTAACATTGCCCTGTGAGAAACAAAGTAGTAGTTGTTAAATATACATGTAGTCGTAATACAGATTCATATCCCTTGTTAGTGTGCTCCCCCCCTGGTGGTGGCAGCTAACATCGATGAGAAGACCCTAAAAAGGGAGGGTGTGTGTGCTGCCAGCTTACCAACAACAATGGGCGTCGTGGCAGGCATCCTGGTGCAAAATGTCCTCAAGTAAGATATCATTATTTAAGGGCAGTGGTAAACCTAAAGGTGCCATATGTGTGTAAATTGTTCATAACATTTTTTGTCTTTCAGGTATCTGTTAAAGTTTGGCACTGTCAGTTATTATCTCGGCTACAATGCCATGCAGGACTTTTTCCCCACCATGGCCATGAAAGCCAACCCCCAGTGTAATGACCGCTACTGCAGGAGACAACAGGAGGAGTACAAGGTGTGTGCCTGCTGTTTTAAGTGTTAGGAAGTACGTCCAAACAACTGTTCATTGCCAATACTCCCTCTTATATTGCGCTGTACCAGTTGGGAAAGCTAACCGTGTCTGTGTGAATTTTTCCCTTCAGAAAAAAGAAGCAGAGCGGCCAAAGGTTGAAGTTGTGCAGGAAGAGGAGGAGGTTGTGCACGAGGACAATGAGTGGGGTGAGCAACTAACAGTGTTAAATCTGTACCAGTTTGCATGGATTTGACGTTGTACAAGATATTATATCTCCTTATGTGTATTAACACACACACACACACACCTGTGCTGTGCAGGTATTGAACTAGTATCAGAGATGACTGACCCAGAGTTACAGGCTGCATCAGGCACAGTGCCTGACCTGCCAGAAGGCATCACTGTGGCTTACACCATTCCAGCTGAGGTCAGTTTTCTATAACACAACACTGGAAGTTTTTACATTGTGATAAGTAAATATTCACTGTGACTGATGACCATGGGCAAGTTATTAGTCTCCAATTGTATTTTAATTCCATACTGGTAACTAATACACTGAAATGAAAATGACTGCCTGGCTCCAAGGTAGGAAATCAGTCTAAAAATCATGATGTGGTGGAAATGGGTCAGCAGTAATGTGATGTATATGGACTAAATGCTAGCTTAAATTCCACTATTTTGTGTTGTGTTGACTAGGAGTCTTTTCAACTAAATTCTGCTAATATTTTGTTTTCTCATGTTTGAACCAGAGTACAGCAAGTGGAGAGACAGTGGAGGACACTGAGCAGAGCCTAGAAGACTTGATGGCTCAGATGAGAAAGTTGTAGGCACCAATCTGAAGATTATGATGCCTTTTCTATTACGTTGCTTTCTTTGATAACAAGGACCCTTACGGAAAAGCCAATTAATGTAAAATAAAAGATTATAGAATGAATTATTGTAACCGATAGAGAGATAAGAGAAATGCATAAAAAGGTCTGCTAATGGAATTTCACCCAGCACCCAGAAAATGCAAAAGCAGTCAGTCAAATGTGTAATTTGCTGAGAAACTGGGATTGTGTTTGGCACTTGAAATTGGTAGTCTGTAATGAAATATCTCCAATAATGCCAATGTTTAACATTAACATGTATCCCAATGTATTTTCTACGCTAATGAACGTTTAATGCATGTACTGTACATCTGTCATTTACTCAGCTTTAAAAAAACACAACAGTACTGATGAACAATGTTTAAGTTGTCTGAATAAAGTATTTATTAGATGGAATACAATATTCTTGATACATTAGATGTCATTGTCCTGTACAGATTTTACATTAATACATGAATATATAAAAACACGTAAGATACATAGTATGTACTATATTTGGCAATGAGACGATTGAGGTTTTGGTATAGTGTCCCTTTTTTACTAACATACTGTTCATTCAATCAGACGATAAATCATGACTTTAATGCTCCGTACTTGTATAGCTAGTCTTTTCGACCACTCAAAGCGTTTTTACACTACATCTGCATTCACCAGTCACTGAGCCTAAGCGCTCAAACGGAAACTAACATTCACACTCATACACTGGCGGAATAGCCGCCAGGGGCAATTCGGGTTCAGTATCTTGCCCAAGGACACTTCGACACGCAACCAGGGGGAGCCAGGGATTGAACCGCCGACCTTCCGACTAACGGCCAACCCGCTCTACCTCCTGAGCCACAGCCGCCCTACTTTATTGTACTTGTACCTTGACAAAACAGACATTTTAGTTTTGTATAAACAGCATGCAATCAGTACCAGAGGTGATGTTTCCTCAGACTTGGTCAAGGTTTTTGGACCTTCTACATTTTTTCTTTTTGGATTACATACTTTAGTGGGTAAACACAATTTAATGTAAACATAAATACTATCTTAATGTACCAACTTAAAAAAAAAAATAACCCTTCATTCAGGAATGTAGACTTGGCAATAAATCGGAGGTCTGAAGAGTTTTGGTAAAAGATAACAGCATGATCAGCGTGAGCTGTAGCAGTGTTTGACAGTTCATGATGTCATCTCCTTAAAAGAACCTTGAGAAGCCCTTACTGTCAGCCTTGTTCATTTAAAATCAAACTTAAAGAATGATTCATTGGGTTTTCTTAATTCCATAACCATAATTGACAAAAAATTAAAGATTTGAAAAAGTGCATACAGTAATATCTACTGTACATTGGAAAGCACTTTGTGTGTCTGGTCAATTATCGTGTTTTATGGGTGCAAATGAATCTGTGCTGCCATTTTGATGTACACTTTCAGGCATCCGCATGTAATAAAGATCAAAGTGTTTGAGTCTGAATTAATAGTGTAAACCTGAGTTCCAGGCCCATGAAAAGGACTGATTTCCTTAAACACATGATTATGTGAAATGAAATATTAATAAATACTTTTCACAGACTAATGTGGCAGACCTAATCATACTCGCAGGTACAGCATATTCAACTACAACTCCATCTAGACAACAATCACAGGATGGTTCCCTTTTTGATAAAACCATGGGGTCCTGATTTGGTGATTCTATGGTAGTTAGTGCTGTCAAACCAGCCTGTATTGTTCTGTGGCAGTAGGTGGCTGAACAGAGTCACCTCGGGGCATGTGGGAGGGGAGCAGGTCCCCTCAGACTGAATGTGTCCCCACTGGAGGAGTGGCGGGACGGGGCGTTCCCACACACTAACGATGGCTCTGCCTCCTTTATCTCCATTGCACGTTTGTAAAGCTCTGCAGCCTTCTCGAAGTCACCCTCTTCGTAGCTATTTACAAAAGGAATAAAAACAGAGAAAGAAATGTTGTTTCATTAAACAGTCATGATTAAACTTCTGATTAGCCAAATGTAGAATGTAAACTACTGTACCTCAGCACAGCAAGGTTTTTGAGGGTCTCTCCGACCCGTGGGTGTGAGCGCCCCAAGCTATCCTCGTATACTTTCAGCGCTCGTTCATAAAGAGGCAAGGCGTCACTGTGCTTCTTCTGCCAAAGACAAAGCAATTCACAGTTAGCTTTGCTCTATACAACCTAAAATACAGCTACACATGCTCATAAGAGCCATTGAAACAAAAACAAGAAATATGCAAGTCAGGAACATGTGGCACAGACTGAAGAAAGCATGATAAACATTCTCACTAGTTGGCAGTAGATTACAGCCAGGTTGACCAGTGCTGTGGCCACACTGGGGTGTTTGGGCCCAAAACTTTTTTCCCTGATTTCCAGAGACAGCTCATACAGTGGAACAGCCTTTTCCAGCTTCCCCTGAACAACACACACATCTTCAAATCAGATTCTCAGCCAATGATAAACACAGAATGAGCTTTTCAACAGCCAGAATATTAAAGTTTCAGTCTCAACGGTCAGACGTGACTCACTCTGCGTTTATAGAGCATGGCCAGGTGTTTGAGTGTGTATGCCAGAGAGGGGTGGTCTGGGGACAAGGCCGTCTTGCGGATGTCTAGCGCCCTCTCATACATGTCCTCAGCTGTCTCATACTCCCTCCTCTCTGTGTGCAGTGCAGCCAGGTTGTTGAGGGACTGAGCACAGTCTGGGTGGTCTGGACCCAGGACACGCTGACGCATCTCCAGAGAACGGGTCAAGAATACCTTGGCCGCACTAGTGAGGACAAAGAGAGGGATTTTAGATATGTTAGTGGACATACAAATTAAGGCTTAAAGACTGAAGAAACAAATCAACAATCAAGTAGAAGGTGCAATTTGAGATAGTCTAAAATGGAAAGTGTTTTACATCTGTCTGTGTACATGCTAACTGCCTTACTCAAGGTTGTTTTGGAGGTAGTAGAGGACACCCAGTTCATTAAGTGTCTTGGCACAGTCTGCAGAGTCTTTTCCCAGGGTCAGCTCTTCCAGCTGTAGAGCTCTGCGTCTCAACAGAGTGAAGCCATACTGAAGGAAGGAGTAGATAAAAGGCATGTACAATATGACCGATCAAGTGAATGTGATTAAGCATGTGGGTATCTGGGAAACATGCTTACCATATGACCTTTCTGGCGAGCAGTCTTCTGACGGATCTTCACAGACATCTTCCTGAGTTTCTCTGCTTGTTCATATCTGATTGTTAAAATGCCAGGTGTAAGCCGTTAAATGTGTATTTTAAATGAAACACTGCAGTGTCCCTGGGTGTTTTAGTTACTCTTAACTTTTAATAAGATCATCAACACAGGTGGGATGCTTGGCAGGAACAACCAACAATTATAAATATCATCGTGCATGCCAACACCAAGACAAACATTTACTTGTTTTGCTTCTGATACAGCATGGCGAGTGACTCCAGCTCTCGTGCTACGCTGGCATGCTCAGCTCCATAAGCATTCTCACTTATCTCCAGGGCCTGCTTGTATAGCTGCTCAGCGTTACCATACTTCTTCCACTGAACATAAACCCCGGCTAGCTGGTGCAGGGAGCGAGCTACGCTGGGATGGTCTGGGTCCAAAGCTGTCTCCCTAATCTCAAGGGACCTTTGTAAAGGGGCTACAGCCTAGACAAACAGACAGAAAGAATCAATATGTGCACTATCCTAGCAGAAAGTAAGGTCTATATGAGAACACTTTATTTTATTTAGGCTTATGTAAGCAAATGAAACATAAAACTGCCATAAATGGTTGTTATTTCAAAGCTAATACTCTTTAAAATCTTGCAGTCCTGTATACTACCTGACTAGGGAGGCCCAGATCTTTGAGGAAACGTCCCAAGGTCTCATACAGGTTTGCCAGCTTGGTCATGCTGTCTTCGCTCTCACAGCTCTTCTCATAGTGTTTCAGGGAGTCAAAGTACTCGGTGGCCATGGAGCTTTTGTCTTTGCCCACATATTGCCAATAGGCTAGCAGCTCAGAGAAATGACCCCTTGAAAAAGAAAACAAGACATTATAATAACAATACTACTACTAATAATAATAAAGCATTGCACTTATATAGCGCTTTATCATATAAACTCAAAGCACTTCAAAGTGAAGTGGTGGGGACTCATCTCAACCACCACCAATGCGTAGCAGCCACCCGGGTATCGCACGGCAGCCATTTTGTGCCAGAATGCTCAACAAACATTAGCTTGAGGCAGAGAGGAAGGGAAACATTCAGCCAATTACACATGGGGACGCTTAGGTGGCCAGATGGAGAAAGCCAGGTCGGGAATTTTGCCATGAAACCGAGGAACCTCCTACTCTTTGCGACAAGTGCTGTGGAATCTGTAATGACCAGAATAAGTCAGGACCTCAGTTTAACTCATCAACAGCACAGTGTCCCCATCACTGCACTAGGGCACTGGGATCTTCTTATTAGGACCAGAGAGAAGACTGCCCACTACTGGATCACCGACACCTCTTCCAGCAGCAACTTAGTTTTCCCAGGAGAACTATAACTAAATAAATGTGGCAGAGTATCTGCTTGTGTATATGTAATTTGTACCTCTTGTAGAGGTTTTGGGAGACAAACAGGTTCAGGAGGCTAAGTTGTAGTTTAGTCCTATCATCTTGCTGTTGGAGCAGCCAGGGCAGTTCATCTGCGACACGCCAAGTCACACGGTCCTGGCTACACACACACACACACACACACACACACACACACACACACACACACACATACAATGACAATGAGTTGTACTGACAAAAGAATGTGCGTTGTTTTGTATGAGGAGAACAAGACTACTCTTCAGCACCTGAGTTGCTGACTGAAATATTGTATGAGCTTCTCTCTATAAGCAGCAGAGCTGCTTCCTCCATCCAGAAACTCCAACCTCACAGCTTCCCAAGCCTGAAAGACAAACACACATACAGACTAAAACTTTCAACGAAACTATCTATTCATAATATATGATATATGATATGACGTACTGTGTGCCAAAGCCCAATTACCTGCAGGTGTTGAAACCTGATGAGCCCACAACGGAGGGTTACAATGCAGAGTCTGTTCAGACGGTAAAGCAGTGAGGTCAGGACAGGCAACTCCACTTCTGGTAAAAGGTCTAGTACCTCTGATTCACTCACTCCATTATGGCTGGCACATACTAGACACAGTATCTAAGGAGAAAGAAAAAAAGAAAACACATATTCCTAGGCACCATAGAGAAAGAATATATAAGGCCAAATTAAACCAGACAGACCCACTGCAAAATATTTACAACTAATCAAAAGAAAATGCTGTATCATGAGAACACAATATAACATGGTGAATGAAAGGTAGGTTTGCAGAACACACTTGCCATTAAAATCAATAGTGACGACAAAACTCTGTGTTTAAGTGGAGACAAGTTATTGTTGTTTTGTCTGAGTATAGGTCACCTCTCTCATAAAGTGTCTCTCTCTGTCTGTGTTGAAGGAGTTCAGCATCATCTTGAGTGCCAGGCGGTATAGTGACATGGTGTCTTGACACTGTAGACACTGCTCCAGGCTCTTCTCCAGTGACAAACAGGATATACTGCTGAAATGTAACAAAACATGGCATACAATCCAATGAACAAAATGTAAAAGATATGAACCCAGATAAGCCAGGTTTAATGCCATGTCCTCTGAAGCAATTTACAGAAAGATTTACCATTACATAAATTCCATTGCAATTAAAAGAGTGTGTTCTTCAAAGGGTCAAACAGGTTTGCAGAAAATGCTTTTCTACTAACTCATTTTGTAGCTCAGCCTGTGATCCGACCATGCTGGATGGGAAGAAAAGAGAGTTTTTCTGTGACATTCAATTTGTTTGGAGTTGTGAAACCAGAGGTGGCTAACCTGATGATCATCCTTGACAGTAGTGTGACATACAATGCATTGCAGGTCGATGCAGATCGACAGTGCCTTTCCAGCTTCTTCTCCTGAAACAAAGATCCAACATTCAAGGGTGGCATTTTCACAAAGAAAACAAACATCTTTTTACACTTTCAAATCTCTATCGTTTTTATAACAGGGTATGGTGAGCTGGTTACTGACCTGATCCTTGCTAAATTTGAGATCCATGCTCTGGCACTCTGCATTTACAACGCTCCTGACCTCTCTAGGACTTAGTGGGTCTAAGTGGAGTGTGGGCCACAACCTAAACAGACACGGTGACTGAATTACAAATGGCATTACTACAAGAGCGTATTTAGGAACATAAACCACTGCAGGGGGGAAAAAAAATAGCATTTTGAAATAATACAAAATATAACGTAAACTGACTGGGATCTGTAGAATTCAGGCACTGTGTCTCACCTCCAGGCTTGAGGACATGTCTCTACATTGACAGACACAACCACTCTGACATTGACAGGGAGAGGGTCAATCAGCCACTTCATGTGCCTTTCTGCTTGCTGAAAGAAAGGAGAAATATTATGAAAATCTGTATTAAATAATGATGAAAAACTGAAACTGGACTCAAAGAATACAGAAATTAAGGGTCCCCACAGCCAAAACAACGTGCCTTCATGTGCATATTTTTATACACATCAGTCATGTGCATTTTTATACATGTGCCATAATGTGTATATTTTCATACACCAAGCAAGAATATAGGGAAGGGCTGTCACATAAAAAGTCACACATAATTCACAGGTTCCTGTTTTCACTGAAGCCCTGTGCATCAGGCCTCCCTATAGTACACAAGGTATAAAAGAACCAACAACAAAAAGTGTCTATCACTTCTTGTAGAGAAAATTATTCCAAATGTTGAGGCTGAGACAAAAATGTACATTTTATCTGTAATGTGAGTTTAAAAAAGAAATGGGGTGTACTTGTATCTGGTCAATGGAGTCGATGATGATGATGATGTTTCCTTGATGACGTCCTGATAGTCTTTCAAGCCAGCGGGGGAACTCCTCCAAGATCTTACTGGGCTCCATGGACAGGCCAGAAATGGACCAGAAGTGCTGCAGCAGCTACAGACAGAAAACACATTCCCACAGTTATCCAGTAAGAAGAGTCTTCACTATGTCTATGAAAGAGCCAATGAGAGAGACCTCTTACTTTGACTGTGAGGCGTTTGATAATGAGAACTGGCTCTGAACTTGTGGACAGTGGGCGACCAACAAAATGATAAAGGAACAAGGTGTTGGGGGACTGTTTCTGTTGCTGCTCGATCCTGGAAAGGATTAAAGAACAATTACCAAAGTAGACCAACCTTACAAAATGTCTTGTTCCACGATGACACCTCCTCTTAGACTCACAGCACAATATTAAAACAAGATGTATTTTTTCCAAAGATGCCACTTTGAAAGATAAACATTGGGCATACATACAAAGGGCCCATCAGTGAAGGGACAAATTACACTTCAGTTCTCACCATTTGGAGAGCAGCAGAGACTTCCCTGAGCCCGGACCACCAGACACCAGCAGAGGAGGGGTGGGAGGGGGAGCAGCTATCATGTCATTCAAACGATCTATATACTGAGGTGGACATCCGATACAACACAGATTTAAAGAAATTAAAGAATAAATTATTAGATTGGAAGACAAAATTAAGAAAGCTAAAAATAAGAGAAGATCTGCCCTACCTTCTGGAAGCCTAACTGGGAGTTTGTAGTGTTACAGGCCTGCTGGTAGGACTCAATCTGCTCCTGCTCATCATGCAGATCCCACAGCACATCTCCAGAGTCTTCCTCACGTCCCTCCTCTATCCCAGAGTCCTTAGAGTCAACATCTCCTCCTTCAAGACCCAGCAACTCCTACACGGTGAGGGTAGAAGTGGAGGTTAAAAAGCTGTCAGGGACAGGAGGCATGAACATAAATCCAAGCAAGCACACAACACTTTAAGCCCTATAAAAAGACAGATGTTGCTGAGGGGCAGTCTGTACCTGTTTGATGACTTTCTCTAGTTGAGCATAAATCAGGTCAGCTCCCTCCTCTGCAGAACCACTGTGATCCACCACCTGGATTAAAGTTCACAACATGTCAGCGCAAGCACTGTGGCAACTAGCAACCAGATAAATACAGAATGTCAACTTAAAAGGCGACGTAGGGGCCATTCTAATGTTTCATATTAAGGTTTGGCCAGTAGGTGGTACCAGGGTGCTGGCATATCTAAATGGGGCTCATCTACTCAGGAGGGCAGGTGCAATTAGACACAGGTGTTGCCAGAGGGAAAAGCCAGCTAGTGTTGGCGGCTGCTGTGGCTGTTTGTTTGTTGTATATTGGAAAACTGTTGATGGAGATGGAATATTGAACCATCATAGATGCTTGCCAGCTGCTGAAGACCATATGTGCAGGAATAAATCATATCTCTCATGACTGAGAAGAAAGCAGAAGTTTAGAGTTCTTTCCCAAACAAAGAGGTCATGGGAAGTACAGCGTGTCAATTACCCTCTATGTAGCCATCTGGTGCTTTAAGCTTAGGCTTAGTGGTTACAGACAATTAACACACAACTTCTGCTTTTTGCCTACAGTTAATAGTGTGGTTATACTGCCCAGGTACTGTTGGGATTGACTGAAGTGTGTAAACAAGGGCAATGCAGAGGAGCATCCATTCATGCAGCACACCTGGACACACCACCACTCACAGAACAGATCTCTGCCTCACTGCCACAAACAACTGTCTCCACCTGCTGGCATGTAAAGCCGTCTGCTACCAGCGCTGTTCCACAGACTTCTATTCCTGTCATCATCACGCATAGACCAGTAAACCGAAATGTGCACATCCCACACAGAAATAATAGTAATCTCTTAAGGATTAGGACAACTGCACCAACTCCAGCACCCAGAACAAACTCATTTAAAATGGCTCTCTTCAATGTGAGATCACTTTCAAGTAAGACTTTTATCTTAAATGATTTTATCTTGTCTGCAAATCTAGATTTTATGTTTTTAACTGAATCCTGGTTGCAAATGAATGTCTATAGCCAGCTAGCTGAACTGTGTCCGCCTTAATATGATTGCTTTAGTCAACCGAGGGTCAGTGGTCGTGGTGGTGGGCTAGTGAGCGTGTATAGGAAAAATTTTAAATGTCATCAAGTACGCTGTGATGAATTTAGCTCCTTTGAAGTTCTCACTCTTAAAGTTGGAGGGCTGCAACCTATCATATTTGTTATAATTTATCGCCCCCCAAAACCGCCTGGAGGATTTTTATCAGAACTTCCTGAATTTTTATCTACTCTGGTTTTAAATTATGACAGAATTGTTCTTTGTGGCGATTTTAATATTCATGTTGATGACCCCACCAATGTTAATGCAACTGACTTTTTAAATATGGCCACTTCTTTTAACTTCAAACAACATGTCAAAGGGCAAACACATAACCGTGGTCATACACTGGACTTGGTTTTTACCCTGGGTGTCAGCATTTCCTCTGTGGAATTAGTGGACATGACCATATCTGACCACAGATGTATTGTTTTTAGCTGCGATTCGCCTGTTACTCATGCCGCCTCACCAAGCTCCGTGTGTTGTCGCATCTTTAATGAACAAAGTGTTTCAAAGTTTTGCGCAGTCTTTCAGAGCCAAAGCCAACACCTGTCTGATTCCAACACCAACAATCTGGTTGATCACTTCAATCATATCTGCTTGTCGTCACTAAATATTACTGCTCCTCTAAAGGTTAGGCCTACGTCTAAAGCTAATAAGCAACCCTGGATAAATGACAGCATTCGCAGCCTAAAAAGGGAATGCAGGAAAGCAGAGCGCAGATGGAAAAAATCCAATCTCCAAGTCCATTACCTCAGTCTGAAGGATTTATTAATTAACTACAATAAAATGGTTAAGGATGCGAGAACACACTATTTTTCTGAACTCATTACTGCACATAAACACAATCCCAGGTTTCTGTTTAAGACTGTGGATCAGCTGGTAAACCCAACCCCTCCTTGTGCCTCAGCTGGAAGTAATGATGACTGTGAATTGTTTTTATCTTATTTTACCAATAAGGTGGTGTCAATCAGAGCCTCTATTAGCCCCGTGGCCTCTTACTCAGAGGTTCCTCACCAGCAACAACAGAGTTTTAACCAGTTTTATCCCATCGACTTGTCTGAGCTTTTAAAAACAATATCACAAATGAGAGTGTCCTCCAGCCCACTTGATATAATACCTACAAAATTTTTACTAAAAGTAATAGATTCTGTTGGGCCCCATTTGATCTCTGTTTTCAACAGCTCCCTATCTACTGGTTGTGTCCCTGATTATTTTAAAACGGCTTGCGTGAACCCACTTTTAAAGAAACCTGGTTTAGATCCCTCCCTCCCACAAAATTTTAGACCAATTTCAAAACTGCCTTTTATTGCAAAGATTCTAGAAAGAATTGTGTCCAAACAGCTGCTCACTGTGCTGGAAAATAACAAAATATTTGAAAAGTTTCAGTCTGGTTTTAGGAAGTACCACAGCACTGAGACTGCCCTGCTTAAAGTCACCAATGACCTTTTAATGTCTGCTGATGAAGGTATGTGCTCAGTCCTTGTACTCCTGGACCTTAGCGCTGCTTTTGACACCATTGATCACAACATCATGTTAGACAGACTGAGGCACTGGGTGGGGATCTCTGGTACTGCTCTAGAATGGTTTTCATCCTACCTGTCAAATAGGAAGTTTTGCGTGTCTGTAAACAACTATGTCTCTTCATTCTGTCCAGTTAAATATGGTGTGCCTCAGGGGTCGGTCTTAGGACCCATTTTGTTTTCCTTGTATCTGCTTCCCCTTGGACATATTATCCATAAACATGGCATTTCTTTTCATATTTATGCTGATGACACACAAATATACTTGCCCGTCAGATCCACAGACCCTGGAATGCTGAGTTCACTTAACAACTGCCTTTGTGAAGTTAAAAAATGGATGTCAAATAATTTCCTCCAGCTGAACTCAGACAAAACAGAAATCCTGGTCATCGGGTCCCAGCAGATGGCAAATCAAATACTGCCATCTGCTGGTTCCCTAGTAAATCACATTAAGCCTGTGGCAAAGAACCTTGGTGTTTGGTTTGATAGTAATTTAAATTTCGAGCAGCACACCACAAAGCTTGTTCAATCATGTTTTTATCAACTTAGAAATATAGCTAAAATTCGATCTATGTTAACTTTTAAGGACACCGAGACCATTTTACACGCCTTCATCTCATCACGCCTGGATTATTGCAACAGCCTTTTCACCTGTTTAACCCAAAAATCTATTGATCGACTCCAGACTGTCCAGAACTCAGCTGCCAGGCTTTTAACCAGAACAAAGAAATATGACCACATTACTCCTATTTTAGCTTCATTACACTGGCTCCCAGTATGTTTTAGAATTGACTTTAAAATTCTATTGATCACTTTTAAAGCTCTTCATGGCCTCTCGCCTTGTTATATTTCTGACCTTTTAGTCCCATACGCACCAGCACGTACCTTGAGATCCTCGGGCAGAGGTCTGTTGTCTGTTCCAGAGTCTCGACTGAAAACTAAAGGGGACAGAGCGTTTGCTGTCAGGGCCCCGAGGCTCTGGAACAGCCTGCCCGAGGAAATCAGGTCGGCTGAGTCAGTGAACTCTTTTAAGTCCCTTCTTAAAACATACTTTTATAGGAGAGCTTTTCCCGATCTTATTTGACTTTATTTTATCCGTTTTATTTTATTGTATTTTACTAATTTTATATAAAATTTTCATGCTCATGTTTCGTTTTTTTTTTTTTGTATTATTTTTTACACTTGTTAAAGCACTTTGTAACTTGTTTTTGAAAAGTGCTCTACAAATAAGGATTATTATTATATTATTATAAGTGAAACTAATCTGCATAATTAAGGCTATTTATCAAAAAGCACATACACATCCTCATGACTTTAAAGTTCACTTTGAAAAGAACTATTCCCTTCTCTCATGTATTCTGTTTTGCCTTGTTCATTTAATATCTGGCACACACAAACCTTGACTTTAGCGGCCTTGTCTGCAGCATTGATCCTTTCTAGCAGCTGCCTGGTGGGTCCAGTCAAATTGTGATCTTCTTCAGTCCTGAGGAAGAGCACCAGTGGATGGCCATCTGGATTTTTAACAAAAGCCTCCTCACAGTCCTCTACCACGGAGCTATGCACGTGTGAATATCAGAAGAAAAATGTTCATTTATTTATAGATAAATAATATAATGTAATAACCTTAGAGACGACGATAGGTATGGGACTTACTGTACCTAGTGACAGTAGATTTGAGAAGAAGCACACACACAGAGCTCCGTTCAATCTCCTGCTTGCGCTCCACAGCGTATGAGGCAGCATTCTCCTCTGGAAAGCAGACATTCAAGTAGAAATGGCCGAGACCTTCACACATTCTCCGTAACACAGGAGAGTGTTTCTGTAATGAAACACAAAGCAAATTTCCCAGACAAGGATTAATGGCAGTTCTCCACAAAATGCCATTTTAAACCAGGTTAACTCACAACTGTATTCTCAGAGTTTGATATTCATACTAGTTTTGAAGTGACCAATTTACTGAAGGTAGATTAAAGTTAATGTAAGACTAAATGTAGTCTTAAATGAAACTGCTATGAGCATGTTCAGATTCATGTTGTCTGTCAATAGCATTATTTATTATTATTATTATTATTGATTGTTTTGTCTATTTCAGTGATATCTCAGTGAAGACCAACGAGCAACATCAAAGACAAATATTTCTTTATAAGAGCAAGCAGCTCAGTAATTTTGATGAATAATTATTAACACAAATTTAACTATTCTAGCTTAAGCCTTACAATGGCCCTTCCCTTTTGTTACTGCCATTTCCAGGAAACAGCCCCATAGTGCCATAAAACATAATAGTGTCACATTATCCAATCCAATATCCAGAATATTTACAGTGTGATGATTTACAGTGGCCATCTAACCAACCTTAACAAAGATTTCAAGCTCAGTTTTGGTCTCCTGGGTAAAGATTAGGTAGCAGCGCACTGTGTTACTCCATAAGGCCTGGGGCACATGAGGGGAGACCTGAAGCAGACTGGCTACCGCAGCATCCCAGTCATCTGAAACAATCACAAACAGATGACAAAAGTTGCGAGACAAGAGCAAAGATAAGAATCAGAATGAGCTTTATTGCCAAGTAGTATTTTACATGTACGAGGAATTTGCTTTGGTGAAGTGAATGCATACTTCAAAAGCTCTCCATATACAAACATAAATATATGTGCCGGCTGTGGCTCCTTGGGCAAGATACTGAACCTGAAGGCTGTGCCATCAGTGTATGAATGTGTGTGAATAATTTGTTTCTTTCAACAGTTGGCACCTTGCATGTCAGCCACTGCCATCAGTGTGTGAATGTGATATTTAAAGATGTAAAGTGTAAGACTGGTGCTATGTAAGTACAGCGCATTTACCATAATGTCTCCCTTCTTCCTACAGACTTTTTGAAGTTTACTTACCCCTGCTCACATTTGCAAAGGGTCCCTCCACATCTATCAAACTGTGGGCAAACTCTGGTCCCCGGAAGGTCTGTTGCAACTGCATCATGCTGCCCATAGAAGGTTCACTTCCCAGCACACCACCAGACCAGTACTCGCACTGTGTCCCTGCAGCTGAAGACATACAGTGAAAAAATAACAAATAAACTTCAAGATTTCATTACACATAACAAGACCTTATATTTTGTATTATAATGGAAAATTAATACTAGAAGAATTAATGGATGAACAGAAAAAAGAATAGAAAATGTCCCAGCACTGTGGATTTCTGTGTCTTACCAGTGACAGTGGTTTGGTTATCATCTGAATCAGAATCATTTAGGTCATAGACCTGAATGCCCTGAGCCTGCAACTGTTGCAATTTGGCCTCTAAATCCCTCTTGGCCCGCAAGAGATCCTGAATCTCTTTTTCTTTTGTCTCCCGGAAAATCTGGTGGTCAAATAAACAATTGGTTATGTGATGCATTGCAAACATGATTAATATGAATGAATGCTACACAGTAGCAAACGTGGTTGTGGTTTACCTTAAACTGTCTTTTTACTTTGTCCCTGTCATGTTCAAAAGTGGCAGCCCTCTCCATAGCTTGGTACTTTGCCTCAAGAGCACTCTCTTTTTCTCTAAGGATCTTCTGGTAGGTCTTCTGCAGTGCCTGTTGTCACATGGAGAATGATGACGACCATCAAATGAACCATCCACAAACCTTAAATATTGAAGCCATAAGCTTGTGCTATGATAAACTGGTAGTCTCAGGTATCCAGTTAATTCATTACCTGTAGCTCAGCTCTCAGCCTCTTGTTCTCTTCATCCAGCTTGGCCTCCTTCTTTTGCATTGATGAGATCTCGTTATTCTTGCTGACTCGGAAGATTTCATACTCTTTACGGAGTCTTTCATACTCAGCAGCATACTCTAGATCCACAGATCCTGTGGATTTGAAACTGGCCCCAATGACCCGAGGTCCTCTGCGAAAGGAACTGCGCAAGAGTCGGGCTTTGGGCTTGACCTCCACTGGGATCTCACAGGCTTCCCCACCTTCACCCCCATAGCCATCCTCTATAACCTCTCCTGGGCTGACCAAAGAGGATGCGGTGCCCATGGTGGCTTACAAGCCGTACAAAAGTACTCAGCCTTTTCGGGTGCCCATAGCTGCTCCTGTGCGATGACAGACAGGACAGGGGAGCATAGTGGGTCCGTGCGTGAAGGATAACTCCTCTGCAGTTGTTCACATTGTATGATGAAAACGTTTTCCTCTACCTAGGCTGTGGAAGATGATTGTGACTATCAGTCCTTTGCCCTAATGTGGTTTCCCTGTGCTGCATCACAAACGCAAAACAGCTAGTTTAACGTTAGTCGATGTAATTTACAGTTAAGTTACAGCCACGAAGCTATCAACTTTAACGTTACAAAAGCAACAGCTCACACCACCGTCATTTTTAGAGGAGCGCCTCCAGGAACAAAAAGGTGACCTATCACTAACGCGTTTGCCATTACTAGCTAATTATTCCTTTTTACTCATCAATAACGATTAAGACAGTTGTGACTTGGTTAGCTAACTTAATGTAACATCAAAGAAAAAGCTGTTCAACGTCGCTGGTGTAAAGTTAAAGACTATCGGATGGACACAATAAGGTACGTACATGTTTTAGCTTCGAAAGAATTTTGACTAAACACTCAAGTCTTGGTGAAAACATCTGAAGCTAGGTTGTACAAAACAAGAATAACTCACGGTCCGCTCCCTGCACAGCTTCTTCCTGGCTGCCTTGGTAACAAGTCGATAATACGGGTGCTCGCACAAGTCAAACTGGGTAAAAGACAATTTTTCTCGAAACTACGGTAACTACAGAGCCCATATGGCAGGTATGCAGGTACTGTTTTAAGAATCACATTTTTTATTTAATTTGTGCCATCGAATATTCAAATACTATGCTATAATTTCTATGCTATAGAAGCTATAGCAGAAGTTATTGACAAAGGACTATTAGAAAATGTCCCGGTACCTGCCTTATATGGTGTGACACGTAGCTTGTGACATGTGTCAAGCTTTCAAACGCATTATTAGTATATACATTATTTAATGTGTTATAATGACGTCAATTGCCTAGGGTTTATAAGATACGGTAATCTGCATTTTCCAAAAAAACAACCAGTACAAAAAAGTCCTTTATGTAGTTGCAGGGCTGTTATGTGAGTTGTTGAAAGGGAGACCAGGGATGGTTGTAACATTTTTGACATGTCTGCATCTCAGAGCTCTTTTAAGCCAGTGCTTTTAAAATATGATACAAAGTAGTTACAAGTGTCTGCTATTAAATTGTGTAACTGTTATCTCTGCCACACAGACAGAATGCATGTAATTTATGCAACATTATGTAATAAGGAATATGAGAAAAGAATTATATTAAAAAGTGTGTGTGTGTGTGTGTGTGGGTGGGTGATCCAAGTATCTTATTTACTGTCAGTCATATTAGTAGTGACATGGTAGTGAACATAATTTAACAATGTGCAAAGGTGCACCAACTGAATATTAGTGTGTTTGTTCTTGTTTGTAACAAATTAATACAAATAATTACAGAAATAAATAAATGCTCAATAAATAAATAAGCATCCGATTAAATGCACAAAAAATTAAATAAATGTAGGTAATTAAATTATACAAATATTATTAAATGTATATATCTTTTTTAATTAGCTTCTTTACTTATTCACCTTTGTAATAATTACCTTATTTATTTATTGTCTGATATAATCTTCAACTTTTATTTATTTCTGCCTCTCCTTTTCACATTTCTCTATGGGGTGAACTTCTCCCCTATTGGTGGACCAGACAGACGGGAGAGCTCTAGGCCTACTCTACCTGCACACATCAACAAGCTTGCTCCTCACATAGTCAGATGACTTCCTTCAGTGAGCTGAGCTGTTTAGCAACTCCATTTAAAGACAAAACTATCAGCCATGTCTTCCTTCCCTTTTTGTGTGGCTCTGATATAGTGTTTTCAGTTTGCCGCATGCATGGACACAGAACTGCGATATAGAAACACACAGTCAGCTAGCTGCAGCTAAATCTGGAGTGCACTCATATTCAACTCTGTATGGTAAATTCAGTTTTAACGGAGCAGAGCGAGCTGACAGGCAGAGTTAGAGACTGACATACAACTGATAATTTATACAGTATGAAAATAAGATTAATTGGATTATACTCACAGGAAGTATAAAACCTGTTACATGTGTCTATTAAAAGTAAAATAACACAAAAATGTCAGGGAAATTACTTTACTTAAGTACTGCAGTTGTACATTGAAATACCTACCTTTCAGTTAGGAAGTCTTCTTGAGGTGGTATAAAACATTTCTCTTTAAATTCTGATTTGAGTTGTGGACAACTATGACCACATGAAAAGATTTTAGATTACCATAACAATTAGCCTACTCGAGAGAAATCTTACACACAGTTACACTTAATGCTGGTAAACTAACAAGTGTCCCACAGACCAACCACAGGAGTATCTTTGACCTACCAAGATTCTCCAAACACCAGGTATATGTTGAACAATTAACCAACCCTATTACTCATAATACAAGGTTTAAGTTGGGAAATAGGAGGAATAGGCTAAATATTTTTTTGATTGGTTACTTTGTAACCCTAAATTTTAGGAATTACATGTGTTAACCCAAGACTGAATGCATTAATTACTGAACACCTCAATAAAATTAAAATACAAAAAGAGGGCAGTTTTAAAACATTTATTGTTTAGGCTGCATGAAATGTGTTGCTTATTGATTATCTTCCCTTTTTTTACAGAACAACTGAATCATTGTGTTCCTGTAAGCGCTGTTCAGAAAGAAATACATCACAGGATCCAGCACGCCACTAACACAGGTCAGCGCAGATGTGATCCGATTGGCTCTTCCCACTGACTCACAGCTTGCTGCAGTAATGTGGGTGCGAATGTGGCTTTCAATGTAGATTACCCTGCTCACGTGGTAGGGCACAAATGCCAACAGGAAATTCATCATGATGAGGATGATCATTTTTATAGCTTTGTCTTTCACTGGTCTTTCCTCCTGTTGCCTGACTGTCCTTACTTTCAACAGAATCAGTATGTAGGAAACCATTATGATGGTGAGGGGAATAATGAATGCCACAACAGTGGAAACCAAAGCAGTGGGCGATGTCTTTTCTAAGTACAAATTGTTGCAGATGCCAGTTGAGTTTTTGCTCACATTCTTTTTAGAGAAAAGTATGGGACTCATAGACACAATAACTATCACCCAAAGTATGCCAACAACTACCTTGGCATACATTACCTTCCTAACTGACTGTGATCTTATAGGTAGAACCACAGCCAGAAATCTGTCCAGGCTGATGAAACTCATTATGTACAGGCTGCAGTACATATTTAGGTAAAAGAGGAAGCCTGCTAGTTGACAGATAACGTGTCCAAAAGGCCAGTGGTTGTCAGACAGGTGGTAAACAATACGCAGAGGTAAAATGAGAATGTATGACATGTCTGCTACAGACAGGTGCCTCAGGAAAACCTTAGATGGAGATGTGCTCTTCTGGTGACAGAAAGCCCACAGTGCCAAGGCATTCCCAGGAACAGCAATGATGAAAATCAGGATATAAAATGTAGAAAAGATTATGTTCTCTTGGTGGGAGTCACTGCCAAAGAAGCCCTGTTTCTCCTCCTCAGAGATGTTCATTGTTGCTGTGGGGAGGATGAGCCTGGTGTAGACACAAATAACCTGTTATGATGAAAGCCTACAACCCGATGCTTTTTTTAAGTGATTCACCAAGTCATATAACACAGTGCATGTGATATAAAGATGACTTACTTGGTGTGATAAACCAATCAACCCACATGCAACATCATGTGAATGAGGGTTATTAGAAACAGGAAGTGTTCTTGCAAGGCTTCAGTGTAACCAGTGTTGCAGATACCAGACTGACATCTGTTAACACCAGAAAAAGATTCACTACTGATAAGCTACGTTAAAGGGGGAAAAATATTTTTTGTTTACCAGATAGTAAGCTTAATAAAAAAAGATTTCAGTCATATAACACAAATCACATGACTGCAAATCACATTAACAATGTAAACAACGTGTGAGATATTTGTATGAATAAAATAAGGAAAAATGGGTTTTATGGCAAACAATATCTGGTAGTTTTAGTTCACCTTAACTTATTAATGTGATGAACTGCAAAACCCACTACCCAGTACTTATGGTATCACCAAGCCATACCAGTGTAATTAAATGTTGTGACAGTTCCCCTGGTAAAATGGCTAGCTTTAAAATCTGATTTCAAACAAGAAGAAACAAGATTTTCTAAAGATTACTTTAACTGATTTGTGGCAGTTAAATTCATGTTTTATATATATTCACTTACAAACTAGTGCTACATGCTAAAGCAATGTTTGCAGTTCTAATTCTTCTAAGTTCTAATTGTTGTACTTTACCATCCAATCATGTAATCCAATGCAAAATTGTGAGAGTAAATTTAGGGAATATATAATATAATCAGTAATATTGTTAATAGTCATATTCTTACCTGTAATCGTAGAGATACAGATTGCAGAATTCTACTATAGCTTTACTATCAGCTGAAAGTCAGAATTCAGGCCAGGTGAAGTGGAAGTGAGAAAAGCTCTGTTGTGTGGTGACTCCATTTTTATATCAGCACCACCCTCCCCACACACCCTCCCCACACACACACACACACACACACACACACACACACACACACACACGCACACACACTTATACAGAGAGGAAGCCAGAACCACAAGTTAAAATATTGAAGCTCAATGCATTACAAGCATGCAAGTCTTTATTTTTACTACTCCAACACAGTTTGTCTTTACCACATTGCTCCTTTACAGTATGATTTAAAGCTTTACAAAAACAAGAGAAAACCAGATATTTACAAAAATCTATCTGTGCAAACATAATTCTTCTTTTACACCACTCTCCTAAAGTATTTGAAAGGCATGCATACAAATAAACTTTGGTATGTTAAAAAAAACTACTTATTTTCTTAGTAGAAGCTTCTATGTACATGTGGTAGAACTGATTCATAACTTTGTTTTTAGTACAGTTTACAATTAGACAACAATACATGTTAACTTAACAAACCAAGACCAGCAGTACAAACACTGGAGGTCAATACTTCAGCCAACACACATGTAAATTCCCCTAAATCATGTAACTGGGTTAGGCCTGAAGTGAGTCATTGTACAATAACTTTGGCAAATATGCAGACTAAAATCAAAACTTGTTTTACTTTTGATACCAGTTTCACATATCTCTAAAAGAAATTGGCAGTTTATATGGGTGAAAAATGAGAAAATACTCTTAGAAAACAGAAGTTAATGAGTTCAACTTTAAAATGTCTGTATACATTGTGTATACATTCATAAAAGGCATTTACAAGAGCTGTGTTCAATGTCTGGCAACCTAAGAAATATAGAAGATTAAATATACTATGGTTATTCAATTTCTGGTTTGAAAAATAAAAGACATTTTTAACATGGTATGTTGTGATTGTACATCAACTCTATAATTCCCTATTCATAGCTAGAGCAAGAAAAATAGATTTTCAACATCATAAGAGCCTTCCACTTCAACTACAAAGTGGTAAAACTCAATATTTTTTTGTTCCATTACAAAATATTTTGTCAGAACATCTGCTACACCAAAGAATCAGAATCCAAGTAAATATTTTTCAAAACTGGAAAATGCAACTTAAAGGAGATAGAAGCATTGGTGTGAGAATGCCAGTGTCAAATAAAACATGAATTGGGGAGTGCTTCACTTAATACTTCCAAAAACTTTTGGAATCATCAAAAAACCAACAAACCAAAACAATATATAATGAAACATGACCAGGTCTACCTGCAGTGCGGTAAAGCCAGGGGGGCGATAATGGAGCTAGGTAGTGTCCTTAGCTGCTGTGGCTGTTGGGATGCAGGATTTGCCGCTGCTGCCGTTGTGGGACCTGTAGCTGTTGAAGCTGGGGGTGTGTATGGTGCGGATGCTCTTTCCACCTGGGCCCAAAGGTGTGGGCGACAGAGGGGAGGGGGAGGAGGAGGAGGAGGATGAGGAGGAGGAGGAGAATGAAGAGGAGGAGTGCACTCGACCATTCTGAGTCTGTGAGGGAAACGAGAGAGTTTTACCTGTGTGCTGTGAGGGTGTGGGGAGTTTGAGGGATCCATTAGACAGAGAGGGAATGTGGGAGGAGGGAAGGGAACCGGAACGAGGAGTGTGAGAGGACAGGATGGAGGACTTTGTCAACGAAGAGGAGGAGGAAGAGGCAGAGGAAGGGTTAATGGGATTAGTTGCATCTGCGTTTTGTGCAGACTGGCAGCTGCCTTTAGTAGAGCTAGGATAAAAAGCAGGGATTTTAGAGATGGGTATAGCAGGGGAAGTAGTTTTATGATCCCCTCCCACTCTTTTAGCACTTCCGTTAGCCTGCAAACAGAGATGCCAAAACAGATACTGGTTGTCAAAAAAGATATCTGGTCAAATTATACATATAGAGGCAAGGCGATGTTAAAAAAAACTACAAGTTATCCACAAAGAAACACACTATGACAACACAAATATTACCAAGACACAACTAAAAGACATCAAAAACAACATGTACAGAAGTTTTGTTTTCACTAGGTTACATAAAAGGTGAGACACACTAAACTGAGAGACATGTTACCAAGACACAGTTAGATCATGCGAAGAATTTACAGCCTGTGTTAGAGGGATTGTTAGGCCTTGTTAAGGGGCTGTAAGGGAAATTTATAAAGCAGAGATGCATAGGAAGGCTGGAATTAGATAGGGTTAGGCGCTTGAAGAGTGAGAACAGATTGGGGAAATGTGGGGCTGTATTCCACTGAAACTGACGGTGCAAGATGGTGAGTTGTGGCGAGGTCTTGAGGGTAAGGAAATATATCACCGTGAGGAGGTTAAGAAGCTATGCAATAATGTTGGGTTTGAGCAGAGGTGCATTGTGAGAAGGAAGGTGCATAGCCGAAAAGTCAGTTAGGTTTGTATTTTAACATAGCCATAAGCATCCTGGGATTTGGCAACACTGTCTAGGAACTCAGCTGTGATGGGAACCGGAGATGGGATGACAACTGAGACGATGACAGGATAGGATTCCACTTTTCTTTGTCATTTTTCCATTTTTTTAGTTTAGTCACCAACACAGTGAAAACCATGAGCAGTGTGGACATGCAAAAGCATACAGTACAGTGATGTTATGGGGTAACAGTCAAGAGTCAAGCATGCCTTCTTGTCAGAGCAGGCTCGAGAGAAACATTAACAGATCCATAGTCGCCCACCATGGCGACTTTATTTTTTTTCAAAACACATGAAATCTCACAGCTTTGGTAGTCTTATTTTCCCTAATAATACATGCCTCATGTTTTCAATCCCTATGTTTGTTTCCTCTAGTCTCTGGTAAGGCCCTACAGTAAAACTACCTGTCGGAACTGCCTCTGAGCGTCCTGCAGTTTTTGCTGTTTTGCTGCTTTGTCAGTAGTACCCGGCGACTGCCTGGACTTCGCAGACAAAGGGATGGGCATCCGACTAGTAGGGGAAACGACACTGGTGTTCTGCAAGGGGATCCAAACGAAAAACAAAACAAGAAATAAAACAAAAGAAAGAAAAAAACACACACCATATAGGAAGTATGAAAAATCAAGGCACTAACAGGTAAAAGAACCTCAATTCAACACCTCAACGATCAACCCCAGTGAAACATCATGCACCTAGTGAGACTACAACTCTTTAAGTCAATACACAGTAGTACATGCAGTCAAGAATAGGGAAGAGCTTAATCATCATGAGTGTATCTTTGATGATGAGTTTGCCACTTGCTGAAAACCTCAGAGTTTTAGCAATGAACTGAAGGAGAAATAAGGTAGCCAGGAACCCAACAAAATGCCACCCCCAATCATGTCACCATGATTTCACACAGGGAGAAAGCTATGGGGGACATTTCCAAGCACCTGTGGAGTGGATTAATGATTTTGTGATTTCAGTGGTTAGGATTGGAGTGAAAAAGAAGGACCCAAAGCCTCCCGGAGCAACAAGAGCTAGAGAGAGACCTGTTGTACAGTGCTGGGGTCACTGGGGACAGTGGTGGTGGTGGTGGTGGTAGGGATAACTACAGGGCGAGGAAGGAGTTGAGGTTTAGTCTTCTTCAGCAATGAATCTTTGCTGGGTACCTTAGGGCCTGACCCTCTGGAGGCAGGAAGCGAGGAAGATCTCTTCAGCCCTACTCCTTCTGGGCCTTTCCCATTCCCTGCTCTAGCTTCCTCTGTGCAGACTGGCTCCCCAGGGGTGTGTGGTCCCATTTCACTGATAGTGGTTTCCAGCTGCTTAATGGTCTGCTCCAAGCTGTCCAGTGTCTTGTAGGTGTTCTTCCGGATCTCATTTGTCCTGACAAGTGAGTCGGAGTTCTGCCTCTTCAGTGCGGCTGAGCCTGTTGCCTTGGATGTGTCTGCAAAGGATTTTGAGCGTGCAATCTCAAATCTCTTTGCTTCTTTGTGCTGCCTGATGGTACCATCGCATTCCTCCTCATCTTCATACACAACCACCTGTAAAGTCTTCTTGCCTGACTTGGTGCCCGTGCGAATCGCCTGGGTCAGTGCCGCAAGCTGTTTCTTAGGGAACTTAAACTTAAACTTCTTCTTACCATCCTGCTTGACATCACCATTTGACTCTAAATTCACTCCACTGTCTGTCAGCTCAGAGATTGAAGATGAAGATGAGGATGATAAGCTAACGTGGTCTGCAGTGACCAGTGAAGAACTGCCCTTTTTGCAATCCGCCAACTCTGTCCCTCCAGCTTTTACCTGCAGCTCACCACTCCTCTCTGTGTCTGACTCCTCACTCTCCTCCTCAATGCGCTCCTCCGACAGCATCCTATCCAGTTCCTCCTCACATTCAAAGATGGTGGACAGGCGCTTGTAAGCTGAACGGATGTCCATGGGCTCGTCAAAAATAATGATGACAGGCTTCTTGGTGAAGCCATTATCGTGTGGCGCAGCGGGATCCGCATTGGTGTTCCCTCGGTTAGTGGCGTTACCTACAGTAAAAGTCTGGACACTTCCTTTCTTGGCATTGACTAGTTCCTGGTACTCGCCACACGACAGGGCCTGCACTTTGGTGTTAGTGATCATAAATGCTATGTTGTCAGGAGGTGGAGGGGCCTCTTCTCCAGGTAAGTCAGGACTAAGACTAGCCTCCTCATTACCGTCCTCAAAGGTAACTTTAGGTGAATCACTTTCCTCACTAGGAGCCTTTTTTGATGGAGCAACATAACTTTTAGGCACCTCTTTTATGGTACTGGTTGTTGTGGTTGCCACAGGCTCAGGTATTATATTCTTACTAGAATAAACATGTTGCTGGATGACTTTACTTTTCTTTTCAGTGTTAATTTTGTTGAGGATTTTTCCCTTCTCCATTTCTGCACTCGTCTTCAAGGACTCAGAGCGTTTAATGTGCTTCCTTGGAAGTTTCAATCCTTTCAGTCCCACAGGCTTAGGTGATATAGGTGGAGGTGTTACAGGTGGGGGTGATTTGGGTGGCGGAGACATTGACTGCTGCTGCTGCGGCTCCTGCTGGCTTGGACAATTGTCATTAACATTGACATTTGACACCTGTGATGGTGGCTGTGTGGGCACTCTGTGTTCGGGGGTTTCCTCCGTTCCTGACGGGGGTGGATGCTCTTTGGGAATCTGGCCAGTCACATAGAATATGACCTGAGAAATAAAGATGTAGCTGTTTAAAACCTCTCAAAATCTAGAACATACATTTACTATATATTAATATATGTTAACAATTTAAAGCCATGCATACCCCTTGGCTCTGTCGGACAGTAGTATTCCCATTTTCATCTGTGTCTGGGTCTTTATCCTCTCGACTGGGCTCTGAGCTCTGCTAGGACAGTTTGTGAGGGAATAATATTACTCTGTAACTGGTGTATGTGTGGTTGCTGTGGATTAACTGAATTCACATGCATTATTGCAGTAGCATCCACAGTGTCAACACTGCATTTGGCAAATACCTTCTAAAAGGCAACAGCTAAATATTTACTGTATGTACTGCTCAGACTGACTCGACTTTCATACCATGATATCACTTTTATATGCTGTTCTGATATTAAATGCTTATCAAAATGCATGCAGGGAAATTTGATATATATTATTGTTACAGACTACAAGCCATTTTAATTTACAACCGCCAAATCATCTACTTTTTGATGGCTAAACCCGGTCTGTTCAGCGTTTTGGCACCTCCCCTGTTGATAGTACAGCAATTAAGTCCTCATTTTTAGATTTTTCATTTAACTGTCTCTCTTTATGTTGCACTGTATGCACTGGTATCTAGACAAATCGCTTCTCACACTACACTACTTTCACTTTCTTTTGAAATCACGCTGGCCGAATCTTTGCAACATTATATAATGTGCAATATTTTGTTATTATTACAATACCTAGTAGCTTACCCTCTACTCACATACCTGAAATGTGTTGAACTCTGAGAGAGATACTTTTATTTAGACCACATATCAATACCTGGCTGTGAATTAGTCAAATTTATACATGAACTTGCATACCTGTCTTCTTTGTCACATTGATTGACAAAATCATATTAAACATGTGTATTGTTTAAATGTGAAAAAGAATTATAGAGTTGTGCTGGTTATAGGTGTAAAACTGGGAAAGGTGTGCAAAGAAAAGGAAAAACTAGAAAGTAATTCCTCAGAAAAGTGTAAGTGGGGGGAGAGTAGCATGCAAGTGCCCAGACTGACCTCTAGTGAACCAAGTCTGCAAAAACAGGTTGTGTCTACAACGTGAATTTGAATTGTTTCTCTCAATTGTCAATCATTTAAAAAATAGTTCTTCTGTTGATTTTGTATGAGGACATGCAATTAAAGAAAGACACAAGACGATTTAATTGCCTGTAGAATACAGTGCCGAGGTCTTTATTGATTTGAAGGAAAAGACAAGTGATAATTAAATCAATGGTAGAACACATCATTGTCTGGTCCAGATGGCCAAAAGACACAGCATCTTTTCAGAGGCTTCATTTTATGCAGACTTAATCCTGAAAAAATATCCAAGCTGTGATATTCAGCAGAATCACAAGAGGGAAGGAAACTGAGGCAGCAAGGAAAGGAGCTTTTTGGAAGTAGCTGTTACAGGTTTCTCTCGAGCCAAAGCAAGGGTGCAAAAGTTGTAGAATGGTTAAGACACAACCATCAATTGTATCAGACAGTTGGCAGAGGCAGGCAGTTAGCTTGGTAGCTGCACGGCGATGTATATTTTACCTTTTTCTCTTTAAGGGGCAATAAGGCCCCCGGTCTTAGTTCTCTGATTTGAGGTTCAATTCGAGTGGTGGGTTCTACCACATTTTTCACCCCTATATCCTTAACTGTGCACTTCTGGAAAACCTGAAGAGTGGAGAAAAGTGAAGGGGAAATGGGGACAAGGATTTTGAGGAGGGAAGAAGTTTGAGTATCTGCACCCTTGCCACTGTTGTAAAATCGCACAAGTGACAAAGTTAGAATGAAAGTCAAGGAGTTTGGCAGCTGTCAGTGCTCTTCCTTTGCCACTTCTGAGATACCAACCACCACAGGAAGAAATCATAGGCAACCCACACAGCAGAAATCAGAAAAATCCAGCTGACGTTACACCTTTTTATTGTTTTTGTGTTTGAGGGAATGTGTGTGTGAGTGCCTGCGTGTACATATGCATCTTACCTGGAGCTCTGCCATGATCTTGTCCCCTTCATCCTCCTCTTCTCCGGTAACAGAGGAAGTGACAGGGGGAGGGGTGGCTGGCTTCGGCTTGGTCTCTGGTGGAACCTTGGTGGGCTTGGGTTGGGGACTGGGGGATGGAGCGTCCTCTTCACCCTCCTGTTAGAATTTATGAGCATGAAATATTTTAGTTATTACTTTTCCAAGTCATACAATAACAAAACAATATTATACAAAGGTTATGGTAATTATGCTCCGAAGAGTCAGATTCAACAGGAGTTACATGAGCAGATCAACATCACTCTCATGTCTGAGTGCAAAGTATGGAGCAAGAACCTAAGGGTGATTAGGGTTAGCTTAGTTTAGTTTAGTTTACCATAAAGACAAAATAAAAAAATATGCATTCCAACATCTCTAAAGCTGTCCTATAAAATTGCAACATGTCTTGGCCTTGTCTGTATGTGTGCAATAAATGTGCCGGTATGCATATTTCTTAACTTTGGAGAGAGCCGGGCTAGCCGTTTTCCCTATTATTTGTGGTTAGCCTCCTGGCTCTTGCTCCATATGTGTCAAGAATGGGATTGATATGCTCACCTAACTCTCAGCAAGAAAACAAAATCAGCATTTTCCCAAAATGTTTGACTACTTTTTTAAACAAACTGTTATTAAGTATATACAAAGGTTAAAAGAGCTCCACAATTACCAATATGTTTTTGGAGTTTATACACACACATAAACACCCAAACACCCAAAGTTATCCCCTTTTTATTTCAAGGTCTCAATAATGAGAGTTAAAAGCTGTTGCTGCTGTTTGAGCACGTTTCACTAGACAACCTCCTATAAGACTGACCTGAGCCGAGACGGATTCCTTCCTGCTGGTGTAGACTACTTCACCAGAGCGCGTGGTGGTCATGCCTGAGCTCGAGCTGGCGTAGGTCTTCCTTGGAGGAGGTGGCGGTGGGGACTTGCTGGGCTTTTCAGACCCCTGCTTGGCAACACCGTCAGCGGGGGCTGGCCTGTTGGCAGTCTTGAAGGGTCTCTCCAGTGCAGGTTTGGCTGGTTTCTCAATCACAGGCTTTGAGAGTTTCTCAGGCCCCTTCTTGGCTGGAAAATCAGACTGGGGCTCTTCTGTCATACAAACAAGCAGAGATTAAGTTATACGGGAGAATATGCTTTAAAATGTGTTCATACAGCAATAAAATAAAATTAACCCACACTTGTGTCTTAAAATTACATTTGTGTTAGATTTGTACCTGATGGTGACTGCACAGGGTTGTGGATTTCTGCTTGTTCTCCAGTGGCAGCAGGGGGCAATGCTGGGTTCTCTTCTACCTCTAGACTGGGAATGCCCTTCATCATGTTGGCCTGGGCCTCCAGGAGGATCTTCTCAAACTCTTTTCCATCATAATGACCCATGTTTTGCCTCCTCTCTTCCCACTCCTTCTCCGCTGCCTAAAGGGTGAAAAAAAGGTTCCTAACAGGTTCTCTGATTCTCAGTTTTATTCAAAAAGAAATAATTAACTACATCTTACAGGGCAAAATAATGCATTTCAGAGTAACCGAGTTGATATTGACAGGAGGCTGAAGAGACCAACTGAATATCACCACAACTTTACTATGCTGGATAAAAAAATCAAGGTGACTAAACATACCTTTATGGAAATTGCTCTGTTTTTGCTCTTGTCCTGGCTGTTCTGGAGCTCTTCTATGACAAGACCCTGGTTGGCAGAGCCATTGCCATTACTCACTACGTTCTCCTGTGTCTTCTTTTGACGGGCGGGACTCGGTGGATCCGAGCCTGCACCCTTGGGAGATTCCCGGCCTTTGGGACTGGGGATGTGAGAGGGGCTGGGGGTGAGCGGTGGACTGGGCTGAGCTGTCAAGGCTGCAGACTGCTGGGACTGCTGGATGTGGACCGGTGAGCTCTGGACATGATGGATGACCACCGGAGAGGAAGGCATCACTTCTGATCTGATGGTGGAGCTCTGGGGCTCTAGTGGGGCTGATGTAGAGCCAGGCTGGACTGGTGCAGGAGGAGCTTCTGCAGGGGCTACTGCTGCTACTGTTGATGGGCTGTTGACCACTGGGACATTAGCAGAAGGATCAGGTCCTTTCTGAGGGCCTTCAGTAGCACATCTGCAGAGAGGAGGGACACAGTATACACTAGGTCACTTATAAATTACATCAGTGTTTTTGAAACAATACCTATCATTGATAGAATCAATTTTACAACCAAAATTTGTATTTATGGTCATTTTGATATGTCATCCAGATTGAAAATACATCAAACCCTATAATTAAGTGAGCGAACAATGTTGATTTATTCTGACATGAGGGGTAAAAACACCATGATCACCACAAACAGCTATGCTGCAATGTCTTTTCCACGGTTTGGCCACTGGGTGTGTTTCGGTCAGAGACAAGAAAGTCATGTAGGGAGAGCGAGAGAAAAATCTAGAGTGAATTTGGTATCTGTGACATATTAAAATGGAAATGATGTGCAGCAGTGTCCACCAAATTAATTCACTTATCGGTTCAGTGAAGGCGATGGAAGTAAATCAAGCTGGACGCCACACTTCTGTCCTGAATGACCTCTTTGATGGGATGAAGGCAGCCTTGCCAGTATAATCAAATAGCACAATCTCCCACATCACAGACTCCTGTGAGAAGCTCTGCAGAGTGCTTTTTGTTTTCATCTTCAATTCCCTCTCTCACTCTCAGCCCCCATACCCCAGCACCTCTTCTCCTGATCCCTACTTTATCTACACGGACATTTTTCCCTCCATCTTTCCTCTACCTCCTCAGACCGCTGAGTGTGTCAGTCAGGCTCTTGACCCTTTTCAGCATGCTGTCCAGTTTATGAGGCTCCTCCTTCAAAAACTTGACAGCTTCCACTTCCACCCTGAGCACAGCCCGCATTCTGGATTGTAGGGCTGGGAACTCTCCTGAGGAAACAGAGAAACATGCGCACATTTTGTAAACAGCTATTGTTTAAGAATATTTTTGACCGATATAGCTGCCTACACTGTTTTTTCTGATAGCCTCAGACTAACATTTAGACTGTTATGACACTACAACTCTCCAGAAAAACTCATACTAATACAGTATGTGCCATGTTGAAGTACAACGACTTCCCCGAGTTGGTTGATGGAAAAGGACTTAGAGGAGACGAGAGATCAGATTCAAACCACACCGTTATTGAGACAGATATATCTGGATATACTATTTCACTGTGTCTTTGGATACAGCTGACATCTCATGATATACAGTATATTGTTATTGAAAATAACATAAAAAATGATTTCAATCATATTGCCCAGCCCTACTAGTTTATATCCAGTATTTAACAGGAGGCCAGTGCCAGTCTGATATCAGTCTGTCATATAAATATAATAGAAGAACCATAGGACCGAACACTTTCTTGTAGGTCACCTACTAAACTTAGCTAAAAACAGTTAGGAACAAAGGGTCACACACAACGTTGTTCCCAGTGTTAAGAATATTATCTGTTGTCTTACCTTTGAGCCCTGCCAGAGATTCTCCCACCTTCCTCAGTGTCACCGCTCCCTCCTCGACGTCCTTCAGGGTCACTCCTCTGTGTGCTGCTGCCGAGTCTTTCTGTAGAGAGACTACATACTGCTCCAGCTCACTGCAGAGACAAAGAAAATTGACAATAGGACAACGAATGTAAAGTTTAGGAAGAGTATCCAGTTTTTCTAAATATATATAATGTACATGCAACAGCTGAAATGAAATATAAATGGAAGCTCATGATCAAATGTTTTAAAGAGTTGGTATTATGCTCATTTTCAGGTTCAAAATCCTATTTAGTGGTTGTACCAGAACAGGTTTACATGGTTTAATTTTCAAAAAACACCATATTTATGTCATACAGCATATAATGTATATACTGTATGTTATCCCATTGTAGGGACTGTCTGTATCTGTTATACTACATGGGGACTATTTGATTAGGAGAAGGACAGAAGAACAGACAGATTGTCACAGCACTGTTAGCATTTTATTTACTCGTCACAAACACCAGGGGGCAGGACATAATCGTTTATCTTAATGCTCCTACAGTGATACTGAATGGGCAAAGGTGAGAGCAAATGCTGGGACATTATCCATAAAAAAGGGACAAAATTACATCATATGTAAAATAGGTATAAACAAACTGAGAGTAAACATTTCCACTATGCAGTTCACTTTCCTGTCTACATTAGATTGCTTAGTCTAGATTGGTCGTCACATCACAAAACCACAAATGTTTACACTCTGAATGAGGACTTACTCATGAGAGAGCACTTCCTCACATAGAAAACATATCACACGACTTCACAGCCATCCCCAGTGCTTGGGGAAAATGGCTACTCCGTGGGGAAATGTGCCAAATGATAACATTGTGTGCAGTGTTGGATTGCATGAGAGGGTCTGAAGCGGTGTTTCATTGTAGCCAGCCACCCTTGAGAAACACTCTTTTATAGAACTCCCCTAAAGGGAGTAGGAAAGGCAATAAGGAGACAGTGTGTTAAATGCCTTGCTATGCCAAGGCCTGTTGGTAATAGGAATGATAATGGGAAATTCCAGCTGAGGACAAAGGAAACTGATTTTTCTTTTTTATTAAGCCTCCCACAGACAAAAACAGATACAGTATGTCGCCATAATGTACACCTCTATGTGTCTAAGTTTAAGAGGCAGCCTTCACAGATACCATAACAAAGTAATTAAGATAGCATTTGTGTGAGGAACAATCATGCACATTTCATCCTCTGTTTCATGAACTGTAAACTCTCAAATTAAACTTACAGTATGGGATTTCAAGCAGCATGTGACTAAAGATGAGAATACCAATTTTACATAATTTTACACAATGTGCCCTTATAGGTCACGATAGATTTAGTTCTCCTCTTGAGGGGGCAGTGGTTTTCACACAACATTCTCCCACTGGTCTTAACAAGTCTTATTTAAAGCACCAACAGCCGTGTTTTGCTGACTCACAACTGGCTGGATACCAAAGGTAACAGAGAGTTTAATCCACTGACTTCCGCCTGTTCATTTCCCAGTTTCCATGAACTGCTATTGTTGTGTTTATTGGAGCATATGTTCACCACTGTGTAGCAAGACAACACTGTTTGACCTTGCCTGTAAACATCCAAATAAAAAGCATTCAAATACTGCTCCCTGTTGGCAAGATAGGCAGGTGAATTAAAATAAGAGCAGGGTAGTGAATAGTTACTCCACAGTTGGGTTCATTGTTCAAGTCTGGTGTCTCTAAGAGGCAGTCGCTGCTTTCCTGTATAAACCTGTGAGCTGTAATTTGGAGGGCGTTGGCTTGTCAAAGACTTTCAGAGTGAACAGCATAGGTGAGCTGATAAGGATGAAGTCTTTTGGGGATTTCCTATAAATGTAAGCACCTTGACTGGAGCTGCATAGTGGGTGAACACTAAATCATCTCTAATACTTGTGCAAAACTCTCATGAAAGGATTAAAATCCATAACAATGAACACCCAGTAATGAATGCAAACAACCGAATCGGCCCATTTTAGACTATATAAAACACAAAAACTGTTATGGAAGTAAATTGAATTGAAAAGTGAATTTTGAGCAACCTTACCTGAGTTGTGTAAGGACACGCTCCTCCAGGCCCAAGTACTTGTGCCTGTCCTCTTCTACCAAAGTTCTCTGCCTCTGGACAGGGTCTTCCAGACCCCGCATGGCCTCTGCAAGTTTAACACTGATTTCCTGCTCTGCTCGCTTCAGATGGACTCGTAATGCCTCCTGGTTCTGGAGCTGCACACAGTTGGAATGAGATATTAAATGACTGGAACTAGCAGATCAGCATACCAAGCTGTAGTCACAGTAGAAAAAGGTCTTGCCTGGAGCTGTCTCATCTGATGGAGTTGCATCCTGAGGTCAGAAACATTCTTCCTGAACTGCAGGAGGTTGGCTTTGAGAGGAACTGAGCCCTTGTCTGATGGAGTTGCACTGTTCTTAGGAGCCAAGACTGGGGAACTACCTGTTTTTGGGAGGGACAAAGGTATAGCTTGTTTCCGTAAGAACACTTTGAAGACATCACTGTATTATTGCTCTTGCCATTACACTACAGCAGAGGTTACACTTGAAATTACCTAACAAGCACACAAAAATAAAAATGTAGTTACTCCTTTAAAAGATAGAGTTGTTCTTTCCCAAACCCATCCTGTCTGACTTTAATCGACAAATTACTTGTTAGAGTGTACATGCCTGCAAACACATTTTCTCTGGCAACAAAATGGACTGACTTAATGTTCTTAATGTGTAGTAATAATTGTCTGAACTCTTTGTGGCTGTCTTTCCCTCTGCACAACAAGCACAGATATATTGGAACTCATATTGGCTGCACCGCTGTCAACTGATTTCAGCATGTCAGTCACCGCTAGACACCTTGAAACCATGGAAACCAAGGGATCTAATATTTGCGGTTTGGGTGATAGTCCAAATGGCCAACAACAATAATAATTGAATTCAATCCTTTCAAAAACTTCAGCATGAGTTTTGACTCTAATGACCTTAATGTTAGTTAATAAAACGATCCAATCCATGTTCACTCAGAGTGGGCTTCAACATTTTCAACAAGGGCTGGTTCTCTCAAATTTCAAAAACATTTGTCACTTACCCCTGAGAACAAGCTTTAACAGTTTTCTTATGGACTATTTTGTTGGCTGAAAGCAGATCCATAGTCTAAAAAGACATGTTTGTGTTGAATTCTTTTTATTTCATTTTTCAATGCTGTGAGCACCATAAATGAAATGTCATTCACCTCAGTTGTTTTGGGTAGAGACAAATATCTCAAAACGTGGGAAAAATAAAAACCCAAACTATGTGCTTGGCTAGCTAGGTAGACTAGACGTGAGTGATATTTGTTTTGTAATTTGGGAGAACCAATCCTTTAACCTCAGAAATATGAGGCCCATTAACGAAAGTAGTGTCCCTGATCGGTAGTTACACAATAGGTCAGGGAATGTTCAGAGTGCACTCTAAGCTCCCTTGACACAGAGACTCACCCTGTGTTCGGCAGCCAAAGAACAAACTTTTGTCTTCATAATCCCAAAACTATATTTCTTACCTACTCTCTGACAGCAGCCTAGACCTGAAGAGCAGGTTACAATGTAAACTGCTGGTAGTGTTTCAGGCCTTGGGGACACAATGTCCATCAAAACAAGTGCAGGCTGTGAGGTGACAATGAAGAGGCCTTTGAGATATGGCAAAAAAAGTGCTTGATGTAGAGACAGTCTGGCCCACACTGTAACTTTCCTCATGTATTGGAGATTCACTCACACGCAACATGACAAGTTAATCTCTCTAAAAGCTACATACGAAATGTGTCAGGAGACATTAGATTAGCTTTCAGGACACATGAACGTTGTGTTTTCCCTCTGCCATTGGTGAGGTTCTAGTTCTTTTTATCAAACCAAGATCTTGCCACAGACCGCTGCAGAGTCGAGATTGAATCGCGGAATCATCTCGGCAGGCTTGAGAAGTAATAGCGTCTTGTTTTAAGTAGTGCTTTATGTTAGCTCTGCTGGCTCTTATCTCCAATTAAACTGAATGTAGGCTACGGGGGAAAGGATTGTCAGGAAATATGAACCGATGACAAGCAAAGAAGCCTGACTTTGTTTACCCTCCCTCCAGCACTGCTCATTGCAGACTGTTGATTGACAGTGATGTGTGGGTTTGCCTGCACAAGACATTATGGGGCTAAAACTCCTGTTTAGACAAAAAAAACCCTCATGAAATGGAACAGAATAACCGTGATACCAACCTGAGCTATGTGCACTGTGGGCTGGAGATGATGTCTTCGGTGGTCTCTCACTGCCGCCGGAGAAAAATTCATAAGAGCAGGATTTCGATCATTAAAAAAAATGGGCACTTCATTCAGTATAAGTAAGAACAAATACACTACAACAAAGTATGATGGGAAAGGCGGACAAATTAGAGAGGTTAAAATGATGTTAATGATGTTAACAAGCTTCATCTGTGTTTAACATAGCATAGAAATATGCAAATTCACTGCAGTCAGAGACCTTTCAGACTAACTGTCAAGCAAACATTAACACAAGGTCTCCACAGAGAAGATCAAAATGCAAAGAGTTGAAATGCAGCCAGATAAACCATACATAGTGGCAATTTATCTAGAGAGCAAATGACTTCAATATCAGATTCACAGTCAAACCTATTTCCTCTTCACCAGATGCCATTTAACCTAAGAGTTTGATTTGGCCATTTTAAAAGGGATTCTTTATCTTTCCCACTCTGGCTGGATGCACGCTTTTCATTTGAAACTCCATTTCCCCTGATGCCTCACTCTGTCCTAAACTGTGATTGCTTACCTTAAAGTCTCCTTGGTGCCACTAGTGTTTGGCCCCTTTAAAAGTGCATGCTGAACAAGACCAGTCAAGCTGGCAATCTGTTGCTCCATAGCCTTCATTCGCACTCTGCAGAAACATCAGAAAATTCTACTTTCAACACTGAGGCCTATTGGAGATTAAAGCTGCCACTCTGGAGCAAATATAAGCTCAGAATGAAAATGTGAGGGCTGTAACACAATCATCAATTGTTTTAATTACCTGATATGAATCTTTTTGTTATTTCATTGGATAACGCTGTGGAGATTTTTTTTGCAATTGATTTGCAATTATGTACCGAGTAAATATTGACACTGGTCAAACACGTAATTTCAGAATTACCGCAACAGCACTTAACTCTTTTCACAAAAATAAAAAGATCCAGAGGTCGATGCAGAGGTTGCTCAAATCATACTGTTTTTTACATAAAAGTGGTGGTTGCTCAGAAGAAAATGAAAGGACAATTCAACATCTACACTGCTGTAAGAAAGCCAAACACCAGAGGGTTGAGGAGGGGACCTTATACTGAGATTACTTAGTAAGCCTAGTGGTTGGAAAAGAGAAGAACTTTTGTGTGGGCCCAGCTGAGAACACAGGGGGAGGCTGGGGTTTTAGCTGTGCTATAGACAACAGACATACACAAGGTCTATGTGAACACAACAATGCCTAACCTCAGTGTCACACAGTATATTTCACATGAATTAATTCTATGACAGCTAGAGAGCACTAAGTGCTGTGACTATGTTTATTTTGAAAGCAAAGTACAGTACTTTCCCATTCACATACCTACACTCATTTACCAGATTCCCAGGGCATTCCTAATGGGGGTTTTAGACTGCCCATGTGGTCCAGACTGATCTGTTTGACTAATTGGTCCATTTCAAATACGTATTCAACCTGGTCAATATTTTCTTTGGTTTTCCTAGGTACGCATATAACCTTTGTAACCTCCCTTTTAATGATAAAATGTTTGCCTGGCTAAGTGGCAAACATCCCTCCTTGCTCTCTATCTATGTTTATGTGCTCTCAGTCCCTCCTTGCTCTCTATCTATGTTTATGTGCTCTCAGTCAGAGTGGACAAGCCTAACACCAGGTACCAAAATGTCTGCTGGATTATCCAAAGTGAATAGGCTCTGCAGGGGGATTGTTATTAAAACAATAGTCACAGAGTAATGGAAATATACAGAGGGTTAAAGGGCGCTCCAGATACTATCCTGTTTCGGTGGTGGCAGCTATTTCTGGGTCTACACACTCTGTAATAATCAACACTATAAGCTCCAAAGTTTGAATAAGGACTGTGAAAACAATGGTCAGATAAGCTGAACTGGGTGTATACACAAACTAAACTGATGCATAATCATGTGCATTAGTCTGCTGCTCTTAATGTGCAGATGTTGACGCTCAAGACAGCGAGAGGGCGGGTTATATTATTGCCTTCAAGTCATGGATGATGAAACAGAGTCATAGCCAGGGATTGAAAACCAGCAGTTCATAGTTAGGGTGAAACTGGAATGCAGAGTTAGTTCATGCTCCCATGCAATGTCTTAATCTTAATTTTAACAATCCCACCAGCCTTCTGTCAGTAACGCTCTGTCCCCTGGTGCTTACCGTGTCTGATGGTCACTTGCAGGTGGGATGGGCCCCTGTAGGTGACCCTGGAGGTCTGCGACTACAGGTGATCCCATGTTGCTCCGGGGCTTGGTCCCTGTCATGTCCTCCTTCCTGAAGGACTGACGCACAGGAGAGCTTCTCTCCATGGGAACACCATGAGGTGGCACGCCATGAGGAGGCCCACCATGGATGTCAATCATCCGTACCTCAGCCATCCGGTGAGGGGATGGGGGAGGGGTCTTGGAGCCCAAAGTAGGCAGCTGGCTGTTTCTGGACTTCTGCCGGTACAGAGAGGGGTGATCCATAGTGTCTGTGGGGCTGGGCCCGCCGTAAGAGCTTGTGGAGCGGATGGAGGCACGGTGAAATCCCCCCATGCCATGTTCTGGTCCATCAAGCCCAGGGTTGGGGTGTGGTCCATGGGAAGACGTGATGCTCATTCTTCCCTCTTGAAGCAGGTATGGGTCTGCATAGACCCCGTCATTTCCCCTGGCTAGACTGTGGCTTTTACCACTCATGTCCTCATCTGGCTTGACATCCCGCCTCTCCAGGATGGCGCTGGGACAGGGTGAGATGGAGCGGGCCGGAGGGTTGGCGTTAGACAGTCGGTCCCTTGGGATAGTAGCACTGCCAGGTATGGAGCCTTGCCGTGGGCTGAATGGGATCCTGGAGGGGGATGGGGGCATTGAGTGGGGAGATGGTGGTAGTGCTCCCTGCATGGGGTGGAGTGGTGCGGGACCCATGGGGGGCTGCCTCAGAGGGTGCTGGCCATCACGACTGGCATGAACCATCTCGCTGTGCATCTGGAAAAGCATAAAGACATGTTATTACTAAAAATAATACATAAAACATTAAGAAAAAAAGTCCCTCAATTTGAGAATTGGTCAATAAACCAGACTGCATACCTCTGCCTGCTTGAGAGCTTCAGCTACTGTTTATTTTGTATATATCCTGTATTTCTGGACTTAAGTTGCCCTTGAAACAAAAACATCCATCTAGCTCAGTTTACACTGTTGTTTTTCAAAGAAAATAGACTGTCAGCAGTTTTTCCAGAAGCAGAAAATAGTTACTAGTAAGGCTACTATCCCCGGGTGGGTACACAGTACAGCATTTCACTCAAAGTCCTGGGATGTCATACCCACAGGCTCCTATAAAAAATATTACAATACATGAAAACAATATTATTTCTATGGATGGAAAGTCTGTAGTTTTTAGAAATGAGTGGTGATTTACTTTTTTAAGCTTTAAACAAACTGTGAAAGCTTTCTAAAAAGAGTTTACATGTGCACCTCCGGGGCTAGAAGGTAGTTGGTTAACTTGCAACAAGATCACAGCAATGTCGTGGCAGTCTATTTAAACAATCAGATAATCTGGTCCACTGGTCTTTAGCCCTTTGAAGGCTAATATACAATAAACCTAAACTAGGGTGGCTTCCAGGTTATGGGAAATATATGAGTGCTTAGGCTGTATGTGGTAAAACTACAAATTAGGAGGTGAACGTCTTACAGATGCACAGTAGATGTAAAAGGAAATTTGGTTAATGTGGTGAGCCACCTCCTGTGCAAAATAAAAACAGTTGTCTTATCATATTTCTTCACAGTTAACTTTACATTACTTCCTCTACTTTCACATAGATGGCTAACTTAAAGCAAAACATTTTTTTCTTCCTTTTGCGAATGAAATGTTAAACTCATAAGCAGCAAAGCAAAACTTTACTCACTTTTAACAACACTCCATTGCCTGACTTGGTTGCTCTTGTGTTTATTTTTCAAGCCTTTACCCCTCTGTTTTGTCTCAAACCTATAATTTATTAGCATGTTAGTCTGTGTATTTTAAGGATATTTTAAGAATGGTTAGTCTTCCGTAGGTGTAACATCTGTTTGCGATTGACATGTGATGCCTTTTGCTCCAAACTGTGCTGGAATTGGCAAAGGAGTCAGAATGTTATTTAGCGATCCAGATCCTTGGATAGTGTATATCATTAGTGTTTGATGATGGGTTTTCAGTGGCTCTGTGCTTCTTAGATTTCCTGTATATGTTTTGTTCTTTGGTCAGACTTGTTGCTGTGTGTGCATTCACTGGCAGCAGTTCCTTTGTTATCACGCCCTTTGTTACTGTACACTTTGAGCAGTTGTTGTTTTACACTTACACATACACACACACACACGTCACACCCACTTTATAGTTCTCTTCATTGCAACATTAGCTAATGTTAGCTTAGTTAATGTTAGCTTTAGATAGATACTGCATTGCAGTGTAACTGACATTAGAGACAGTTTGCTAACTTGATGGCCCTTCTCTACTTGTGTTATTGTTGGATCATTTACCATTATTTTATTTTCGTTTCTCACTTGAGGCTGGCAGAAAAAAATTAAATTTTTATAACCAATATCTCAATAGTTTGAGGTAACACTTGTTGATTCATAAAGGCAACAATGGAAACTTTACCAGCATAGAACTTATAGAAGTATAACAACAACAACAGAGTGAGTTTATTTACATGCTTGAGTTCATTCTCCATAGAAGTAAACATTGCCCTGTGCTAACACGCACAACTGAAATACAGCGTCTAAACAGTGATAACCTATGGCTCGAGGATATGTGATGTGCTCGGTGCAATAATACTGTGCTGAGGAGTGTCACATGCAGGGCCGAATCCAATCCATCTTTCTTTCTGTCTAACTCTATTTCTGTCAAACAAACAAGCTATTGTTCCTCCAAGGTATGACTCATGGGTTACACCTACATAAGAAGGCAAGTCAAAACCTAATGCAGAGTTCTTTCAAAAACTTCAGGTGTTGTTTTTCACAATGTGCTTTTTCAGTTTTGGTCTATTTATTTTCCCCCCAGTGCCGATACAGATTAATACAGTGAAGAGAACAATAAAGTGGGTGTGACATACGTGTGTCTATGAAGTGGAAAACAACACCTGCTCAAAGTGTACAGTAACAAAGGGCTCAGACTTGGCTGTGATAACAAAGGAACTTCTGCCAGTGAATGCACACATAGTGCATACTGATGGCAACAAGTCTGACAAAACAACAAAACATATAGCCTAATAGGAAATCTAAAAAGAACAGAGCCACTACAAACCATCACCAAACCCTAATGATGTTTATTATCCAAGGTGCCCACACACATAAAAAGAAAAGCAGCCCTCTTGTGCAGGAATTTCTCCAGAGCGCTAAATAACATTCTGGCTGTTTTGCCAATTCCAGCACAGTTTGGGCCAAAAGGCATCACGTGTCAATCCCAAACAGATGTTTCACCTTTGGAAGACTAACCATTCTTAAAATATCCTTTACAAACACTGACTAACATGCTAATAAATTACTTTTTGAGACAAAACAGAGGAGAGCAAAGGCTTGAAACACTAAACACAAGAGCAACCATGTCAGGCCAGGGAGCGGCCGTGTTCAGAAACATTTGGTTTGAGTTTGCCTCGTGGACTCTGTCTCTGTTTCCACCAGGCTCTTAAGCTTCCAATAATGAGGGCAGCATGTCTGTTGGGAGCGCACAAAGTTGCCTCGCTCTCTTGCCATGTTGGAGATGGAGAGGGTTCCTAAACTGATTCACAAACTGCAGTGCCTCAGAGTCAGCCAAGCCAAACAGATAAAGAGGAGCTGTGCTACAATGTTCATGGGAAAGAGTATTGAACATTTAAATAGCTGTCTCTATGGCTGGATGCATTACACTGTTGTGTAAATAATAAAGAAGATGGGATGCTGCGGATTATGATAGTTGTGTGGTGTAAAAACATGACAAACATTCAATGTTTTATTTTGAATAAATAGCAAAATTAGATGGATTGCTTCAAGGGGAACTTAAGTTAGGCAATAACCGAACCTGTTTACAAAATATCTCCTCCAGTTTTGTGTACATAACATCACTTCTGAAAACCACTACTGGCTCTTCTATGAATGCAAAGCACTGATTTCAGCGCAATCCTCTTCCTAAGTACAGATTAATATGACAAAAGAGATGCTTCAAATTCAAGAAATTGCCTGTTTGTTCTAACAGTCTGCTGCATATTCAGTTACTGTGTACATCTGTTCACCTTAAATCAATTACTGACAGACAAGATATTTGTTTCCATAACCAGAGACAGCTGTATTTGTCCAGAAAGCTCCGATCAATAACAGAGGTAATTGCAGATGATACTTTAAAACTGATCTGAGGCCTGTCATTCCTGCAAGACAAGAGGACACACAATAGCCCAAACAGTTGTGAATATACCCCCCTCCCAAAACAAGTGTTTGAACAGGTGTACAGCTCATTAGGTTGCCGTATTTGCCCTTTTGCTTTGAGTCCCAGGGTTTCTTTTTCATTATTAAAAGGAGCTGCCAAGAAAAAAACCCAAGAAAGACTTCTTTTTTACCTCTCGAGCATTCTTTAAAAGGCAAACTGAACAAACAAAAAAACTGAAGTCTGAGCTTTATAGCTGCAAAGAGTGTTAAAACTTGCCAGTATGTTTCAGGGGAAAATGCAGCTTGCTATAACATTGCCATAAGAATGCATATTTTTGGATCAATGCAACAAATGTTATCTAACTAATTTATTTCAAAGGTCCAGTCATGGTCCACACCCCACAACCACGGCCAAACCTCATATCTGTGTCAACTGCTGCTTGGTTAAACAGTGACAACAATCTTCTTCAGCTTATCTCTACTTCATGCCTAGATTTCACAATGTTTACTCAAGATCCCTTGTAAAGGGCCCGGGCTTCTCTTTCCTAAATGCATTTCAGTTCATCCACTACAAGTTATATTTTTCAAACCTGCTGATTCAGCATGTACCAGAGTTGTTAAAAAAAACAGATGGGGACAATCTGCTCCACACAATTAAAGTTCTTCTGCTGTTACCAGTTTGCAACCTTTCTTGCTCTTAAAATGTTTGCACTATTAAATTCCCATTTAACTTTTTGAGTTGTATCATTTTTGCCATCTTTTTTTCTCAAATGTCTTTTGTTCACTTCCCCTTGAAGGACTCCATTCACAGAGAGCCAGCTAACGCAACCTCGCCTGTCAGCAGCAGAGAATAAAAAGAGTTTCTGCAGCACCTCAAAGTCATCTTGCCATCTGAACCAAGACCTCCTAAACCATCATCATGTTTGCCTCATCATTCCTATAAACTTTATCAATTTCAATTTACACTTATGTGACACATACAGTGTGTGGCAACGGGATTATGGCTAAGGTTAATGTAATTTTTACAGTATCACAATGCTGCCATGTCACCTGGAAATCAGCAGCAGGCAGAGAGGAGTAGTGGGTTAGATAAAGGGTCAGGCAGATTAGAGCGGTGAATTTAAGGAGGAACATTTGAGGAAATGGCTCTTTGGGGCTTTAGTTTTGTTACATCAGCAGGAAGCAAACATGCTGGAATCAGAACAAGAGAAAGAGATTAGAGCTGATATTGGGGGAAGAATGAACAAGGAGACCAGTCCTGAGATTTGAGTTCAATTGTCCCTTAAGCAAGCTGCACCAGAGCGTATAGGTGAGGCCCAATCGCAGGCCCCTGGGAGAACAATATGAGACCCCCTCTAAACAGATTAGGAAGAGGCAGGGGGACATTCCTTCCCTTAACTGCAAACAGGATGTAAGAATGAGACGAATTGGGGGCTGGGCTTACTATCTGGCAACAGGTTTGGTTGTCTCCTTGCAACTACTGCTTTTAAGGAGGCAATAAATTTCACTGCTGTGTTAGCATCCGTGTCAGTTAAGTACTCACCCTGGCATCGCCATTGGCAGGTCTTGGCCCATGGCTGAACGCCTGTGCTGGGTCTTTGTGGTACACCTTCAGGCAGGAGTGATCTGTGATATTCCTGTAGGGGGAAGAAGTGTCCCGTGGTAAGAAGGCAGCCCAAATATCACCATCAGACAGCGGCCGATCCTGCAACAGCCTGGATCTTCTTAGCAGCCCTGCCAAGGGCACATACCCTGACTGTGGCTCTGACAGTCCTCTGTTATATGACATTTCTTCTAAATGTCTAAAGTCGATAAAAACATCTATTAATACTCGACTACATAAATGGACAACGGATCTGTTGTTCTTTCGCTGGTCTCACTCCCTCACAACTATATGGTGCACCTGTACCAGCCTTAAGGAATCACATGACTTTTACAGCCCTGATAAATAATTAGTCACAAAGTACACATCGCACTTGGACAGGAAGTCTAAAAACAAAACGAGGCAAAGTTGTTTATGTCTTCAATAGTAATGTTTTTTTTCTGAAAAAAACCCAAAACAACTAAAACAAATGGCTGTATACTATCTCTGCACATATAATCTGCAATATTATTGATAAGACATGCTGGTGAATACCAAACCAGGAAGGTACAACGAACAAAAAAAGCAGTGAGCTAGTATGTGTGTTTGTGTGTCTGTAAATGATATACACAACACATTACACAATACTTCGTCCGTCTAAAAGGCATAAAAGGACTTCAAAATGTGTAAAGAAAACTTACAGTGCTCAAACTTTCTAGAGTCAGACTTTCACCAGAGCAGAGAGGACAACAAGCAGGAAAGTCATCGAAGTCTCTGGGTGCTTTTCAGTTTGTTTGGGTATATCAGAGACATTTTGCCAAAGGGCTTCATCTCCATAAAACTTTCTTTCTACAAACTTTTAACATGAGGGTAACAGGAAGCGAGAAGTTTTCATGGCCAGTGACATTTCCTGTGCAGGGGGGAGACAGGAAGTGTTCAGGGAGGGAAAAAGGAAAGGCTGAAACTATGGAGTATTATGAACCTTGGATGTCCTGTTAACGCAATATATGTATCCGTCTTTATCACACACAACTGTACATCTTTACCTGACATCAGTAAGCTCGTAGTACATATTCCTCATGTCGTCTTTGACGTAGACGGCGACGCTGGGCGACTCCAGCATCTTCATGGTGAGCTGCTGCGGGAAGGCACTAACAAACAGAGCTCTGATGGTGTCGATGCTGGTGATCTCATTAGGCATGCGAATCTGTTTGGTCTCATCCCCGTACTGTAGGTACAGTGCACCTACACACAGGAAGCAGGGAAAGTAGGGTGATTAGCCAGAAGTAAACTTCCTTTTAAATTATAAAATCTTTCTAGTAAGGCAGGTACGTGATTTTCCCACCTTGCATGAGTAGTGATACACAGTTTTGTTTCACTCTTTCTCTTGTAATCTGACTGTTTTTTCACATTGTAAAGAAGTTCAGTGCATCTTGCAGTGTTAATCTGTTTATGCAGACACACTTCCTGCAGCTATTTAACAGTAAAAACCTCTGGAACCACTGGAGGGCTTTTAGTCATAAGATGCTGTATAAAGTATTGACTTAGCAACCAAAGTTAGCAGCTGACTGCTAAGAATATTCTCAAAATCTGTGTTTGCACCCTTTTCAGCAAGTTTTTATCATTTGGGCTTAATGTACAGTAAACAGAAAACAATGCCACGACAGAATTTGTCGAACACAAATGCCTGCATACTGCAGTTTGGGTGAGCCTCCAACACATGATCTAAATAAAAAGCAGCTTTTCCTCTGCCATTCCTGACCTGTGAAAACACAGTTGGCACCCTGCCCACATCACAATGTCTTCTAATGGCTGCTCAGTGCCTGGACCACTGCAGCTATTTTGCCAGATTAAAATTAGCACAAAACAAATTATTTTCACATATTTCCACTGGTGTACCATTTATACCATCAAACTCTAGCAGCTGAAACAGAGGAAAACACATACATCCCCTTGAGTATTTGAATATGTGGATAGTGAACTGTCCTTTAAAGGCGCCTTTTCTTGGTTAGGATTTTTTTTTTACTTTTGAATTGGGCTTCATAATGAAAGCTTACCCTCAAAGAACAACAAAGCATTGGAACTGTTTCCTGGATTAACAGACTTTCAGTAGCATACTTGTTACACATGTTATTTTACTAAACCTGCCACTCAATTCCTTTTTGTGTAACCCATGGAGGACAGATTACTCTATATTCCAGAAAAATTACTTGATATTTAGTGAGTTGGGGCAGGAATGAGGGACAGAAGGAGGCCTGTGTTGTGCATCAATAAGACCAAAGCCTGGACCTCTGATCCCTAGGTGTGGCTTCTTTACAGTGCTTTGGAAAGACAGATGTCTCACCCACAACATTTAGGGACACGCCCACACTGCACTTGTATAAACAATGCCAGGGGAAAGAAAAAAGCACATTTCTGTTCTCAGATCCATTGTTCAAAACAGCATGGAACTCATCTTTATAGGGGTTATGTGTAGCAACAACAGACCTTTAATGAAGAGAAAAAGTTTGTGTTTCTCTTCTAATTATGTTGAGTTATATTTCATGACAATTGTCCAGAAAGAATTGTTTCTATACATAAATCAGTCATTTTAATGTCACTTTTACATTTGTGCACTGAAAATAGCTGGTTTTAAGGAAAGGAGGTATGGTTTTACTTGGTGTAACCCCATAAAAAGGACAGAGCCAGTAAAAGCTACCAGATGTTGGTGAAATATTATACAAGATCCTACATGCTTCACGAGAGAGAGTGAGACGGAGAGAGGGCAAATACAGGAAATAAAATTGCTGAGTCTATCATTGCTCTTTCTGGTCTGTCTGGGTTTCTGGGTCGTAATAACTTAACAAAGTGCCCGTTTGCAGAATACCTTCATCTTTCCCCTGAGAGCTGTTATGTTAACAGTCGGCTAGTTTTCATCCAGATGTTAGCAATTAAAGCGAATGAGTTTGATGACAAAGCGCCATTGATTGAGGGTGTATTATGAATATGATTATGAATTCTTTAGTTGCTGCAACAAAGTTGAAGAGCTCAGTTCTAACTAAGAGTCGTGTTACATTCCTGAGCGCCTGGTTTCACTCAGGATTGGAAGCAAATGGCCAATGGGTTTCCAGACCAAATGGGCACAGTGCTGCAGACTGTCTGAGCTTTAAGAGTTTTCCACATTTCTCCACTGAGACACAAAAGTTTGAACTAAGCATAATCGTGAAAAATCTCACCCTGTCTCCGTTAATATTATCACAAAGTTTGAAATGCATCTAAAAAGCAGAAAAATGCTACATTAGAACCACCAAATAGATGGCTTGAAATACAATACACTTGATCCCGAACACTAGATTAAATCTGATACTCACATTAGGGGTTTTAAGGATTTCCTGTTTTCTGCTGAGTCTGAGATATTCTGGAAAAGACCACGCCACAACTCCTACAGTACAAGCTGAAGATACTAAGCCCCAAGAAGGAGCCCGAAATGTCCGTTGGGACCCAGCGCAGTGTGTGCCTGTGTGTTTGCAAGTGTGTGCGTGTGTGTGAGTGTGTGTGTGAAAGATGTGGGAGGGACACTGTAGTTAAGTGGTGCCCCTTTTTCTCTCCTCCCCTTTCATCACACCATAACCCCCACTGTCACAACGCTTTGTCCTGGTGTTTTTGAAAGAGAGAGATGGAGCGTGTGTACATGCGTGCATGTGTATGGGCATGCATGCGTGGTAAAATATATTTGTTAAAAACATGTTTTGTAGTTCTGCTTCTCAAGCAATGCAGAATGCTTTGCTTCAGTACTGGCACAGAAAGGTGTAGAAAATGGCACCCTATAGTTTTATTCATTTTCACTTTGGTCAAAAGGCGTGCCACTCAGACGCTTTTCCATTATCCAGCAGCCGATGCCTTGCTGAGTTGTGAGCTACCTTTGAAAACTATCCAAAATTACAGACTCTACACTTAGTTTGGGGAGTCGTCAAACTCTTTCTACCACTCTCACTCTAATGCAGAACCCTAATTCTGCAAAACTTACAGCGTTTCTGCATATGGATGCAAATGAAGCACCATGTAAGTTGATAAGACGACCCATTTCTAATCCTGTCAATAACACGATGGCACATTGTGGATGGATTCCCTAATCTTTCACTACAGAGGAAATGAACTCTAATTAAAAAACTGAGCTGTGAGCTGAGGTGGAGAGATGAGGGAGGGGAGAGAGAAGAAGATAGATGGAGTGGGAGGAAAAGACAAGGTGAAACGGTAAGATCATGGTGTGGTTTGGAATTATTTCAGAGTGTTCTAAAGTTATGCTAACATTACGCTAAAAGGTTATCCAAAGAGGATTAATGTCAAATCACTTTCACCTCAGTCTATTCACAAAGTCAATTTTAATATTTGAGATGTAGTCTTCATTCTCAATAAGTTCTTAATGGACCAGATAGAAGGAACAATACTGCCAGTTTGGGGAATCTGAGACAGAAACAGAATTACAAGACAGTTGATCAACTAAAAGCAACAAAACCTAATCCAGATATGAAATGCTCTGCCTGAATTATCATTAACCCAACAGCCTCATGCACATCGTACCTAGCGAGCGGTCCTTTGTCTGGTTGGTGGACCGCACCACGGGCAGGCTAGCACGAACCCGACTACCACGGGTGAATGCTGTGGGTGAGTCGGCCTCAGACATGGTGTCCAGTGACTCCAGGGAGGCCAGGGATAGGTGATCAACCTGGTCGCCAGGCTGTGGACTGGGGCCGTGCTTTGGGCTTCTGCTCTGGAGGGGGAGGCACACAGAAACATAACACGTTAAGTACAAACAGTAGCTGTACATACATGGTTTTTTTATTCTTGAAATGACATAAGAAAGCTTTCTAATTTCTCAATGTGCGACAAGCAAACTCTTTAAGATATGATGCATTTGGTGGAGTTAGAAAATAACACTGAATCTCGTTCTTTGGCAATGTACAAGATATGCACCTTTGATGTTGACTTTGAGCTTGACTCCAGCACAACTAAATAAACCAAAAGACTGCAGTCATTCAAAAGTGCCGAGAAGTGTTAATACTGTATGTCACCGACACATGCTCACATGTCTAACACTAATACTGTACCACAAGCACATCATCACACTAAAAGTTATCAAGCATAAGGAAGCTTCTTGTACAGGAGTCTCAACATTTCATGTGCAGCCGAATGAGCCAGAGCCTGATTTAATAATGATACTAACAGCGTTAGAAGGAGTTTTCAAATAGTTCAAACCCAGCATGATGACACACTGAAAGAGATCAAACAGAAACCTACAATGTGTGTAATACAGAAGAAGAAATTCCTTTTAACCACTGATTAGGGATCAGGGATTGTGTCATCAAAACTTAAATATCAGTTAGCTTCTCTGTAATCAGATCTGCATGACGTGGCATTGTCAAGTCACAGCTACAATAAGACGGTGTGTGACAAGACTACAGGGCCCATTGAGCCATTGTGCAGTGCTGTAAGGTGATCTGCCCCACAGGGACAAGGCGGGACTCAAACTGAAAGGGTCAGTGAACACTGGGCTCTTTATGAAATGCTCTTCTTCCCTAGCAAAAGTGTGGTGCTGTAGCGCTAATGCAGCTAGAGACACGAGGCCAGGTCCACCAGGTTATCTTGAACACACCTGCATGCACGTGTTGATCTTCTCTCGCACTCATACACGTACGAACACATAAAGAATGTAAGCGTTTTATATTAAGTGCAGCTGACATTTGTAGGAGCTTTCGTGGCCAGAACTGGTTTAGCCTGGCAGCCAAGTGTGGTTGGCAGGCACAGCACGGCAGCCGTTAAGAGACACGGGGCACCAGGCCTGGGAACATGGTCTCACAGCAGATGTTAGTGAGGATGCAAACATAACCACACACACACACACAAACACACACTAGCATCATGCAGATAAGATAAAAGGCTGACTAACTCTGTGGGGCAATTGGATTTTCATCAAGTACCCCTGAATGTCAAGCTCAGAGTGAAGGGAGGAGAGCATGCCCTGTAAAGACTGATGGGAGAAAAGAGGAGAGAAGGAGAAAATATGAAGCAAATGGCTAAGAAATGCCAGTGGGAGGGTGAGATGGAAAAAGAAATGGTCATCAAACAAAACAGAGGAACCATGGAAACAAATCAATGTCAACAGCAGAGCAAAGAAAAGTAGAAAGAGGCTAAAAGGAGAACCTGCATGCTAAGGTATCTTCAACCCAATCTATCAGCAGAGAGCATTTACAACTACTCACCACTTTCTTTCCTCCTCTAATCCCTTGCTTGAGTTTAATGAGTACTGTCATAGAAATCCTGGAAACCCCACCACTTAATAATCTCTACATTTGCATTAATTGCCATCATCATTATTATGCAATATCCCCGGAGCATTTCCAATCATCACCGTTCTCATCCCTATGTGATATTTGCTGAGTCAAATTGTGCGAGCATTTATGTGATGCACCTTCGCAACGTCCTGACACAGCAGGCAAAACTGCTGAGCCATCACTCAACTACTGTAATTTCATTAAAATATCCTTAGGCAGCAACACACATATTAAAAATACAAGAACAAAACTGCAAGCAAATACGTGATGATAGTCACCCTTTAAAACAGAAGGGTCACATGGAGTTGACATGTCACCTGAAACCAGACATGTGTTAGGAAATTTAATCTCAACATTGAATGATTTATGAGCGTATTCAATGACGGTGGGTCCAAACAGCCCTCCCACATCGCTGGTCTGTCCTCTCATATGCTACTGTTTCACCCTTGAGAATGTTGAATCATATTGGCTTTCTTCGTCAACTGTAGGTAGTAATTAAGTCAGACTGGTCTGGCAGCGTAATCCAATATTTTCTTAAATACCAAAGCAGAGGAAGAAGAACCTGCACTCAAACTTTAACTTGGAGAAAAGTTTACTTAGCTATCATGTTTTATGAGTTTACTGGATTTTTTGCTTGAAATATGAAATCAGTATAACATATACATTTGAAAAACTAATTTTCTTAATTCTTTACAACTGGAAGGAATTGTTACTTGGAGGAACATCATTTTGTAAATTACACAAACAATATGATTCCAGTGTAAGATATATAATAATATAATGATATATAATCATTTAGAATTTTGCTCAGTGTTACCATCAGATAAATGTAGTTGAATAAATATTCGATATTGATATTTAGTGGACTAAAGGCTAAATTAATAGCGTGACTGACTAAGTGTCTTAAACAGTACAGATAGTGCCAGGCTAGCTGACTCCCCCTGCTTCAAGTCTTTATGCTAAGCTAAGCTAACCATGTCTTGGCTCCAGCTTCATATGTAATGGAAAGAGTGAGATAAAAATCCTTCACTAAAAGGCCTATACACCAAAATTGTAGTTAAAGCAAGACTATGTAACTTACTTGCCAACTTCTTGTTTTTGTGATACAAGCTGTGAAAAGTGATATGCTAAAATGTTGAGTGGCATTAAGAGAATTTAGGGGAAAGTAATAAAGTTAGTATGTCAGTTGCAAAAATCTACCTAAAGTTTGCCTTCATTAACTAACATTAGTTAATATAAGCTATAAGCCCTGAGAGTAAAGAATTTAAAAATGTTGTATTTTATTGCCTAGGAAGTATGAATTGTGTTATTTTTTCTTTTATAACAGTGGCTTAGTCTTGCTTTAAGTACGCTAGTTAAAACGGTTGCTTGTATGTTCCTAGGGTTCTTTGCCTCTTAATGTGACACATTAAGGAGATATTTCAAAGGGTTTCATGTCTCAGCAATGTTTTTCCCTAGGTCATATGTTCAATGTATGTTTTCCTGTTTGAATATGTTGAAATAACCCACCTACGGCGTATACAGCTTACTGATGTTAAACTCTACTTGAAACCTACACCCTCAAATTTGCAGGCAAGAGTTTAGACATTAATATTTCCACAGTGGCTGAACATATTTTTACCATTCAAACTTCATTTCAAATGTCTATCTCCCTTAAGTTCTTTTGCAGTTTGAAATGAACTGCATTGTTAGACCTTACCAATCTCTTACATAGTTCAAGAGACACACATAGGACCCTGGGAACATAGGGATGATCCCCTTTCCACTTCTGCCAAATCTCTGGAAAACGGTACAGTAGAAACAATGTGACAGCAGGAGAAGAATTCTACAGGAGAAAAAGTTAGTGGAATCAGTCACATATAACAGTGGAGGAAATTGCAAATGAGACCTTATGCCTCCCTGTGGAAAGGGGTAATTAAGTGAAACCACTCCACACCGATCCACATCAGACAAATGAGGTGTCCCCTTCAAAGGTCAACAGTTTGGCTCAGATGAACTCCTCTGTCTCTCTCCCTCCTTCTCTCTCATGCATGCATGCATCATCACTCTGACAGTGGCTACGTATGATATTGTCGGGATACCTCACATCAAAAGCCACTTCCTGTCCTGGCTAACCACTTCCCACTTCAGGTTCCAGATGTGAAAACCACAAGCCAACCTCTGATAAGCACTATAAAAACCTGCTTCAACCCGCTCACACCTACAGTACATTCCACACAAGTGATTTCACCCTCTTTTGTCATAACCATACAGCCTATGATTCTCCTTTTCAGCAGAGACTCCCTCTGTACGCCACATCTGCTCTGACAGTTATGATGAATGTGAAACTGAGACACCGATATTTTCTTATACACAGGAATATGGTCTATTGAGAAGGAACGTCTACTACATTAGCCAGTTGTCTGTGAAGTGCTGTAGCTGATGCCAGTGGGTTATTATTATAAGACCTGTGTCAAATACTCACCATGATACGAGGATGGTAGAGCAGGTCTTGAAATAACTCAATAGAATTTGCCTTATCTAGATACTCATGCTGTGTAGCTTGGAAATGCAAACTACTCTGTTACAGCAAACCTTCTCCTCAGGCTGTCAAGCACTAGCTTAGAAAGGCACTGCACTGTGCATCTTAACGTTCCTCATTGTCTTGAACATCGCTTGCAGCACCTTCATATTAAATGGATGTCAAGTGTAATGTAATGTGGACACGCGATGATGAGGCAAACAACCAAAAGAAATAAAGATAAAAGAAAGTAAGTAGTTCAAATGTGGGTTGACTGTTCGTTGTGTGTTTGAAAGAGAGATACAAAGAGAGACTGAGTGCGTGCATGAGTGAGTCAGGCCATTGTTCCAGAAAATCTGACCCGAACCCAGGACATCCTGAAAACATTTATGCAACAGTGGCCTGACAAACAGAATGCTGTCATTAGAAAGTAAGCACAGGTCTGTGTTTGTGTGTCTGAATTCCCCAATTTCCCCCATTTGATATTCAAATGTTATTGGTCAGTGCTATAACATGTGTTATACATATATTGTACTCTTAGAATGCCACTTCTCACTGCACCTGCTCCCCGTGAGCATGCATGCATGGTATGGGTGCTTTTGATTGCTACCTGTCGCCTGTCTTGAATATTACAGAGCCAGTTCAAGCTGAAGGCACAATGTTGCATGATTTCACCAAGCAGAACAGATTACATTATATCATGCAGCTCCTGACAGACAGGCTGACATGCAGAGCTGAGATGGGGCGATTAGAGTAAATCATGATTGTTGAGAATAATGGCAGCTCACACCAGGAGCTTGCTGTGTCACTCATGGAGATTTAAGTATAGCCATAGCCTTTAAAACTGCCAGAGTGTCTTACACCACACCTGCTGCCAGCCTACACAAAGCCCACTGATGGTGCCTACTTTCTTGTATAATCAACATACTGTATTTGGGGTTATAATGGCTTTCTCACAACAATTCCTGGCTTTCACCTTAAAAAAATAGGGTATTCTCCTGCCATCTCTGCAATCACCTTACGGTGACAAACTTTACACTGTGAGTTTCAGTCCAAGTCAGGCAAAGAAGCCAAATACTTGTATAGGCTGTCTATACACAGACACACAGACAAGAAACAAGTTTCATTCACACATTCTATATTGTCTTTCCAGATGTGAAAGAATGTAAACAAGAGAGTAGAGGCGGAAGCCTGTATGGCTTTAAACACAAACGCTCAGTGTTGTGAGCACAGCTTTCCACTTAAGATGCTAATTTGGCCCAGGCTCTGGGGAGCGGAAATGGAGCTAACTGTAATTACCTGGCCTGATCTGTATTGCAAACACATAAACAGAAGACGGTTGTCTCTGCAGACTGTTAACCCCTTCCTTAATTTGTTTCTGACCGTTATTCCACTTAGAGCATTTAGTCTGGCTAGTTTATGTCGTTTTGGATTTGAGGAAGATGCTTTTAGTATTTGTGTCCTTCGGGAAAACACTAAATCAGTTCTGTCCTCCCTTTTAGCATTGTCTAAAAGGTTGGACTGTGTCACAGTCTTTCTACTGAAATAAAAGTTCAAATAGCTGGCACAAACCTACGAGAGTTCATTAAAAACACCTGTGTGGGTCTAAAACTCAGTGCCACTGCAGTTCTGTTCGACTTAGAAGCACAAAGCCCCTGTCAATCAACCAGTCAGCACTCCATCCGTATGCTGTCTGTGGACAGACCATCATCCTTTGTCTCCCCTAGCCTTAATGACATTATACTGAAATCCCCTAGTCATCCATTCCCATTCATTGCTACCGCATCCCTCTCTCCCTCCCTCCGCTGATGCATTCCTCCTCTAATCCCTTCATCCAAATCCCCAGATGACCTTTCAGAGATGGGCTTGCTTGTTAATTGGTGTGTTAAAAGGTGATGACTTTATAGTATCCACAGTCAAAGCTGACGGTGAAGGTGAAGCTACTTGCAGAAGTTGCGGCAGTTCAAGACCCGCAATCTACAAGTTTATGATCAACCGACCATGCCAGAAATGTACAGGATAAACGATCACTAGCAGTTACCATCTCATTAATAAAACATTACATTGGCAAATAAAATATAATCAAGTAGATCAGTCAGTCAGCTTGCAAATGAAGTGCATAATCCCAAAAGACACAATACTGTGCCTGTTGACCCAGTGCAGAGAGGAGGCAAGATGACTATCTCTTTCTCCACT